GATGTTAAAACCCATTGATAAATCTTCATGGTGCTGATACATGTAAAGTATTATTATAAGACGCTAGGTGAAGTAATTGACATGGTAGTACATAAAACCCGGATGATACCTAATATGGCTTTATAAGGCGATCGGCTTTACTAAAATGGTTTTAATAAACGCTGTCATCAACAAAATAATTCTTAAAGTTCCACTATGATAACGTCACGTAATTCCCACTTCAACTGTGAACACATCAGCTTATTAATAAAGTACCACATCCACTGTGAATACACCAGTTTGTTAATAAAGTACCACATCCACTGTGTCCTTGTCAGTGGTGCACGACGGGGGACCTGTCAAGAACAGCTTTCTAGTCGTTAGAGGAGATTGACCAAAGTATCAAATATCGCATTTGCTCGTTAACCAATCGGGTTTAACGTCCCACCCTCTGCAACAATAATGGAAACGGGCATATTGCAAAAATGAAATGAATTGGGACTTAACGTCCTACTGTTCTGCTCCAACTGGGTTAATGAAGACGGGCATACGCCATACAGTGTGCTATGAGGTAAATTCTGCACGGACAGCGGTACTCTTGTCGATTCTTTTATCGAATTTCAACTGCCAAAGGATATTTTACATGCACGCCAATGTATACACGGGGCCTCGGCTTCTTGTCCCATCCGAACGACTAGACAGCTGTCTTTCTCAAGCCCTCCGTCCTGCACGTCAGACAAGGGGGAACCATGTCGGAAAGTCCCGATAAACTTGCTCGGTCAACATCGGGAGCGAACCCGCGACCTCCAGATTAGCGAGTCCGCGTCTTACTCACTTAATTAGCCACTGTGGCTCCGCGGCATATTGCATGCAGTGTGCTATGAGGGAAATGTTGCCCGCACAGCGACGTTTCAGCTCAATTTTCGTCGAATTCCAACCGACAAAGTGGAAAATCATTATCGTTATGTAAGAATTTCTTTTCAATAGCTATATAAGTATAGTTGTAATGATTCCAACTACCCGTCAACTTTAGATATTAACAACAACACACTTGTCCATGTCAGCTTAAATAACTCATCGATCATAAAAAAATACAATCCACTTTAAAATCAAAACATAATATTATCTTTAAAGGGCATTTAGGTAAACGTTTATCGGCATTTCCTGCGTGGTTTCCCATTGTAAGTGATGCAGTACGGGGGGGGGGGGCTGGCAATGACAGCTGTCTAGCCGTTCGGATGGGACGAAAACCCGAAGCCCCGTGTACACATTCGCGTGCACGTAAAAGATCGCTTGGCAGTTAGAATTCGATATAAGAGTAGACCATAATGCCGCTGCCCGGGCAGAACTTCCCTCCTAGTTAATTGTATAGCATATGCCCGTCTTCGTTAGTCCAGTCGGAGCAGAACAGTAGAAAACTAAACACCATTTCATTTCATTTCATATTTAGTGAACGCGATATATAATAATAGACAGCTTTATGGATAACATTCGCTAGGTTTTTTTTAATGCAGTTAATAAACCTAACGAATGTTTTTCCATAACGCTGTTTGTTATCAAAACATAAAAACGCAATCTTATCTATTTTAGAAGACACTATTCTTATACAGCGTGTATAGAAATGAAAATAAATTTCAGATGTCTTGAAACACATTTTGAAAGCATATAGTTACATCAGCGGATCTGGCTCATTAGCTAGAAGGTTGTGGTTTGGATCCCAGCATTGGCCGAGAGAAAAAAACCTGTGATTTTCCAACCTGGTTTCGAGCGCCGGACAATTAAAGGCGTCTAATCGTTCGGATGGGAGGCAAAGCGGATCTCACGAGTATGCATCGGCGTGTACGTAAATAACCCTTTACAGTTGGAAATGAAATGAAATAAAATTGGGTTTAACGTCCTACTGTTCTGCTCCTATGCTGGGCTAATGAAGACGGGCATACGCCATACAGTGTGCTATGAGGGAAATTTTGCCCGGGCAGCGGCACTATCGCCTACTCTTATATCGAATTCCAACTGCCAAGGGATCTTTTACGTGCATTCCGATGTATACACGGGACCTCGGTTTTACGTCTCATCCGAAAGACTAGCCAGCTGTTCTTGTCAGGCCCGCCGTCCTGCATCACTGACAAGGGGGAACCACGCCGGAAAACTTTACAGTTGGAATTCAAAATAAGAGCCGACCGTGGCGCCGCTGTCCGGGCACAATTTCTCTCATACCACGCTGCATGGTGTATGTCGGCCTTTATTGGCCCCAATGGATCAGAAAAGTAGGACGTTTAATCCCATTTCATTTCTTTAGTACACCATTCGCCCCCCCCCCCACCCTGCTCAGCTACATATTTTCTTTTGTAAATCAACACTTTTTATGAGAAAAGTTTCTCGGCCGTGAGCTTTATCCTTTATCGTCAGATGTGGGACAGGATGGCCACTCAAAGCACGGAGATAATGATATAGACATTATGTGATATCACAATTAATGCTTTGCATCCATGAAATTGAATCACAATGTCATTGTGTTATCTCGTAATAAAAATTGACTTCAAACGAGGTGTTGAATTTCTCTGTTTAAAAAGCTCAATGTGTATGTATATACGCCAAAATGACGATAGAAACCATGTGGGAGGGGGGGGGGGGGGAGATACATTGTCTCAGGAACCTGGCAAACCCCCTCCTGCAAAAATTCCTGGATCCGCCCCTGCATTCGGATGTAAAAAACAAAAAAAATACTGTTTCGAATTTTCTTATGATTTAAACTTGTAAAGATTGCATGACGTCATACATGAACACAACAAGCGAGGAGAATGATGTTATGTTTTGGCAGGTGTCTGTCAAAACGTACATATATATTACATTCATGCAATATGGTTGTTTTATTTTTGAACATAACGTGTTTTTCGTCCTAATATATTAATGTTAGATTTCATTTTGGCGCTTCTTAGATACAAAACTTGCCAGACGTACTCTATCAATTTCTGTATCCCTCGTTCAGATAACCTTGGCTAGTTCTCAGAAATTAACGGAGCGAAAAACTGTATAAAAGTTTAGTTTATATTTAAGTCTCAAATAATTTGTATATTTTGTAATTTCATATGTTCTTGTTGTATAAATGTTCTGTATGTACATAAATTAAATATTATTTTTGTAAATCTGGAAAGGAGTCGGTTCTATTTCAGTAACGTACCGCTACCAGTTCCCGTGATTGTAGAGACTTGATATTTTCAGGGGTTGTTCAGGGGGACTAGCCGTGACCTCACACCAAATTACAACCGAATCGGTCAATGGCGCCATGACTAAGTAGGTGACGCTGATCGCTTAATTGAAAAAGACAAGGCAATCCTACTTGAAACGCGAAATGAAATGAACTGAAATGGGGTTTAAACGTCCTACTGTTCTACTCCGACTGGGCTAATGAAGACAGGCGTGTGACACTACGGCCCACTCCTATTTTGAATTCCAACTGTCAAGGGTTCTTTTATGTGCACGTCAATATGTACTTGGTACCTCGTTTTTCCGTTCCACCGTAACGACTAAATGATGAACTTTCTCGGCCAACGCAGGAATCGAACTCGAGAAGTCTAGGTTAGCGAACCAACGTGACGCGGACATAAACAGTAACTGTATTCTATAGAATGTTGTGCACTGCTTATCCGGGCTGCCCCCCCCCCCCACACCTCACCGTATCAAAATAGTGTTTGTTGCTAAGACTATGAAATTGTATGTCTTGTTTTCGATCCGATCCTCTAAGAGAAGAAAAGTAAAGGCTAACTTGACCCACATCACTTTTGTTACCTGCTTCAAATCACATGAGTCTTATTTTATTTTTTATATATTTATATAGTGACAAGTGACGTTTGTTCTATATTTACATGTAGGGTTGGCAATACGAGAATGTGTTGATGCAGGTAATGTGAATGGATGAATGTAATGGAGTATAATATCCTACATTTCTGCTCCAACCGGGCTATTGAAACAAGGACATACGTTATGAGAGAAATTATGCCCGGGTAGCAATTGAATTCCAACTGTCAAGGGTTTTTTATTTACTTGCATGCCGAGGTGTTCACGGGACCTCGATTTTTCGTTTCCATCCGAATGACTAGACACTGTTCCTTGAACGCTCTCGGCCAAAAAAGTAAGAGGAGTTGTAAATTAGCCACTGTAATTACAGTAACGTCAAAAAACACAACAAAAATATGGTTCTGAAATTTTGTGTCATAAATTTTATGTTGATAAATTTAACTATCTTCCTTTTATTTGTATTTCCAGGTCACCTGTCAAAATGTGCCTTGTGGCCAGCATCTGCAATTGAGAGAGAGAGAGAGAGAGAGAGAGAGAGAGATGGGGTTTAACGTCCACTCGACACAAACTAGGTCATTTCGGGACTAACACATGGTTCAATTTTATTTTCATAATTCGCTTGCGCGAAGGGGTCTTTTAGCAGTGGGAGGAAACCGGGGGACACGGAGAAAACCCACGAGGTTGGACAGGCGACCCTACTCCTTGTCACGTACAACCGCATCTGCAATTGAAGGCCTGATCTTATCAAACTCTTCACCTAATACCCTACATATTTCGGCACTAATTTCGATTAGCTACCGAGCCAGCTGGTGTGTGTGTGTGGGGGGGGGGGACTCTCGATCTTCACGAATACTAAGTCTCGCGCTTTCCAGTTAAAATGTCTACCTGTGATAGTCAGGTTGCAAAGTTCAAGGTTCGTTCAATGTCAAGGTTTCCGTGGAGGTCGCCATGTTTGATTTGAATGTGTTTGTGTCACTTTAAGTTCGGGAATTGCAGACCAGTCCAGCAACGTCCAGATGTTGTAAAACGCGCGGTCGATGCTTCGGGAACATGTAGGGCCAGCAGGGCATTAATCCAGCAGTGATTATCCCAGTTAGTGCGTAGTGTTCAACCATATTTCATTTCATTTGTATTAAGAGTAACGTTCCCCTTTCAAACTTCTTCCCAAGCTCTTACAGCTATGGACAAAGTTGAAATTACTATATTCTCCAAGAGACAATATGAAAGCTTTGGACATAAAATTTATTAGCAAAATGAACAAATCATAATTACAAATAGCGAGATGTCGGTGGTGGAGCATTGTCAAAATTGACAAATATCTGGAATGACAAGAGTACAGTTAAACAGCTTTCAAATAACCGATTATTAGGGATTTATCACCGGCATTTCGAAATACCCAATAACACCGAACAATACCCCTTAACTCTAACTTTCAATATTTAGAACCACAAAATAGTGCGGAAAATAGCTTTATTGAATACAGTTTAGAGCATTGCGTGGCTTCTCATTTTCGATCATCGGTATTTAGTGCATTCCGTTACACACTATACATTTATCGCAATTGCATATTGTGACCGTGATGTCGATGTAGTGGGTGTTATTGAGTAATTACATGCACCTCTTTATCACTGTAAAAATAATACGATTCACTTGTGAATGTGACTTTCACTTATGAAAATATATGTCATAAAATTATATAAGTCAACATTAGTAAATTATATCGGAAGAGGTTAAAGGATTATACACTAGTTAATAGTCGCGGTCTTAACACCTTCGGGGCTGACATAACGCTTACTCAATGACTACCGTCTGATTACTAACCATGTTAATGAATTAATAAACATTATGCATATAAATTGTATCCTATCGGCGACGTAAAGCATATAAATTGACGAAGCAGATAATTTTGAGGCAGAAACTGTTATTTGTAAAAGTCCGTACGACCAGTACTGTACAGTCTCAATCTGATTAAAACACAGATGGTATTTCGTTTCGTTTCTTTTTCTCATAGTTCAAAATTTCGTTTTTCTTGTCTTTACTACACTAGGATCTGGAAGAGATGTTATATAACCCACGTTCTGGTTGATGTGAGGAATTAGCCAATGAAACGGTCTGTTGCGGCTAGATCTGGCGTGTGGTGCATCGAATCCCGGGTATCCCACTAGAAACATTAATGTTAATTTGTTAATCAAATGTTTGATGTCATAGGGTCAAAAGCCGCTCGTATGACCCCTGATGCGACCTCCCACTACAACCGGTTAGATCTTCATGTAGTAGAGGACATCGAACGTATACAAAAATGAACGAAATATTGATCTGCATTTTAATCAGATTGGACGAGTCTTTGCCAAATCATTTTGAACAAAGAATGCGACTTTACTGAATAGAAATAAAGTTGACTAGAAGTATATTAAATAAATCGGTCACAAAATAAAACAGTCAATACAATTTCCTTAAAGATACATTATGGGAGATTGATTAGATAAAGAGCGGGCAGTTATCACTATAATAGTTAAAAACTTGATAACGTAAAGGGAACTTGCTAAAAATTTCGGTCAAATCGATCCACACTGAACCGAGAATTTACAATTTCCTTTAAGATACATGATTGGAGAAATGATGGGAGACTAGATAAAGAGCTGGCAGTTCTCACTATAATAGTTAAAAACTAGATAACGTAAAGGGAATTTGCTGAACATTTCAGTCAAATCGAAAAACACTGAACCGAGAATTTACGATTTCCTTAAAGATACATGATGGGAGAATGATGGGAGACTAGATAAATAGCTGGCAGTTCTCACTATAATAGTTAAAAACTAGATAACGTAAAGGGAATTTGCTGAAAATTTGTCAAATCGATCCACACTGAACCGAGAATTTACCGTTTGAAATTTCGGCCTAGACTCTATCATCATTTCTAAAGTCGGTACAATAAAAAACATAGTCTCGGATATCCATTTCATGATTAAATCATGAATGAAAGTTGAGCAGCAAATCGGATCCTAATCCAGTAAATTTCGTAGACTAGCGATGACATCGAGAGTTGATTATGGTCTGGATAAGTTAATTAATGTCTAATTTATAATTTAGGTAACATTTCAGGCCTAAAGAAAGACTTGAAATCGGCAGATTTAGCTCTTGAATAATGTATGTTTAAAGCACACAATAAACATAAATGCGTCATCTTGTCCTCCATGAATATTATTTCTAATTAAAGACAAAATCCAAATTTCAGAGATGCTTAATTTACGTCAGCATGATGTAGCTTTGTTTTAAAATTATCCACTTTGACACTTAGAATCCGGTAAACACACAACACTGGGTCATTTGTAAAGACGATCAACATCAACATTGTAATAGGGTTTAGCAGAAACATGAAGATATATCTCAATTGTTGTTTTTTTTACTATGGTCACGTGTGGAGTCCGAACGGTCATTGATTCTTTTAACATGCAAGTGTATATAGATGGACCTGGGAATAGACATACGTGCCATGTCCGCCCCTGTGACCATTTCTACAATAAATTAAAAACATTTAAACCAGGGACGGTCCTGCTAAAACTTAATGTCTTTTCATTCCACCTTGTCCTGCTACAGTTTGTCCTCACTCTCTGCACCGTAACTAAAATAAACAGCTGACACAGCACGATTAGGCTCTGGGTTAGGATAAAACTCAATGTGCAGATTTCCGGTTTGTTTGTTAGCTATAACTTGAACCTTGTTCGCAATTTTAACGATTCTGTCTTTAACGTTGTTGATAAGGCTCATGACTCCTGTAAATGATGCATACATCGGTTCCCCAACAGTTAATTCCAAACTCTGTAAACTGGTGCATTTGTTGAAAAGTACCTCGAGCCCAGAAAGGTTGATGAGCTTGTTTTTAGAGACCATCAACCTCTCGATGTACTTACAATCATGGGCAATGGCAGACAGTGCAACACTGGAAATCTTCATGGAGAAAAAGGACGATCCACCAGATATATCCAAAATTCTCAACAAGGGACACGAACGGACCAAAGTAGCAATAGCAACGTCTGTAATGAGGTGACATCCACGCAAAGACAGTTCTTGTAAATCTGGACAATTTTGGGCAATCTCTATAATAGTTTCATTAGTGACCTTGGAACAGAAACTTAAATGTAAAGTCTGTAGATGAGAATGATCTTGTAAGGAAAGAAGAATTTTATCCATGTCATCCAGAAGGGTGGAAGCCAGAGGACCTTCTTTTGAACTTTGAGATGTCTCTTCTGTTTCATTGTAAGGACTCTGTTGTTGATCTAATGATTCTGATTGTTCTGGTCTGTTCATAGACACTTTAATTGCGTTTTCTGAACTTGGAAGTATTTTTGACATTGTACTATGTTGGTCATTGGATATTTGTGAATCTTCTACCACTGTGGACATGGGGAGTGCAGAGACTTCTGGGTCTTCGGTTTTTGTATCATCTTCCATCTTGGCCAAAGCACTGACAGTTGCTTCGGTTTGTAATGATTCAGCAAGTTCAGTGTCCATATTTGATGCTTCAGAAGATATTTCTGGGATTCCATCTTCCTCCTTAAATTCAGCTTCATCATCTACAATATCACAGTCTTGAAGATGTCTGTATTTTGAGATGTTGATGTCGTCGACCCTATGACATGTCTCTAGGGACAAACACTGAAGCCATCTACAATTTGCCATCAGGAATCCCACACCTGTAGAAGTCACCTGAGCACACTCTGAAACTTCCAGATCCCTTAAATATTTAGAATGCTTCCCTAGAGCCTTTAAGGAAGCATCTGTTATGGACAAACATCCAGCAAGTCTCAGTTTTGACAAATTTGGACAGTTTTCAGAAATGGCTAAAATGCACTTATCGTCCATCAACAAACAGTAACTGACATACAGAATTTTTAGCTTCCTACAACCCAGAGCAATGGACTCTAGCCCACTACTGGTGATGCTGCAGCCCTTTTCCTCTGGGTCAGTTTTATTTACTAGAAGACCTTCCAGTTCTTTACAATTTGAAGCAACATAACCTATTCCTACATCTGTTATACAAATACATGACATGATATTTAGTGACTTTAATTTGGGAGAGTTTTCTGCGATTACTTTTAAACCTCTATCGTCAATCATAGTATAAGCTATGCTCAAACATGTCAAAGTGTGGACACTTTTATTCAAACTTTTGAAACCATTCACAGTAATTTTATCAGCACCTGTAATATCAATTTCTTTTAAATTAGGACTACACTCGAAAATTCCCGCTAATGTAACATCAGACAATTCGGTGGCATACAAATCACAACCTTCCACATTTCTACAGTTTTGAAAAGTGTTCAAAATTTTATCATTGAGTTTATCATCATCTGCAGGACATGCAAAGTCCTCAAAACTCAAATATTTCAGATCTTGAAACTTGACCACAAAATCCAAACATTTATAGATATTAATGTAACTACAGTGATTTAGATTTAAGTTCGCTAGTTTCGGATATTTTTCAGTAAGATAAACAATCGCATTTGTCGTAACATTCGTCAAACTAAAATCAAGGTAGGTAAGTTTTGAACAATAAATATCTTTATGCATGAAAGACTCGTCTGATAAAAGCATTGTAAAACCAAAAGTAATCTCCTCAACCAGATCAGCAATTGGCGCCAACATTTTTAAGAAACTGGCATCCCCCATTTTTTCACCAAAGCCACCATTGTCTAATTGCAATGTTTTCCAAAGTGAACGATCATAACTGAGATTATGCCACAACCGACACGTCTTGCGCACAAATAACACAATAGTTTTTATGTCTAACCACTGATATATGCGCAAAAGAACACACTCCGGCAGATCACAGATATTAAAACTTAATTCTGAGGAGGATGGGGAGTAGCTTCGATCTGATATAGGAAGAATTATAGAAGATCTTAATGATTCTGTTGTGTAAGATGATGCTGTCGTTGACCTTAACACATCTGTACCACATGCATCAATCGATTCTGATGAGTTTATTGATGAACCAGACTTTTGAAGGAGTCCTGCTTGTGAGGTGTCTGAGTCAGTTGTTGCTGTTGCTTCAATCACATGTGGATTCTTTGGTGATTCATTAAGTCCTGTATCAAAATTTGCTGATGATCTTGTACATGGTCTCTCTGTGGAGTGGACAGTATTTGATCCAAGACATGTTGTTCTTGACACACTACTGTTTCTTCCAGAAGCAAAACCCATAGAGTCCGCAACTTTGTCAGATGACTTTTCAATAGCTTCATCCATAATTAGTTAATCACAAGATAAATCTTTAATGGAATAGATATCTAACATCAGAAACAATCATCCTAACACTCATTACCTAAAAATCAATGGGACTGGCCTGCTTCATATCTAAAAAGGATGTTTTTTTATGTTGAGTTCACATAGCTGAGAGCTTTATAAACTTTGTCATGTTGCATTTCTGTGTTATAATCGATTTACTGGTATTTTTTTTTAAAAGCTAGGCGTACTTCTATGTTTTGTTGAAGGGTGTTGCTGCATTGTGTAACAATGGACTAGATCATTTTGATATTTCTATCAAATTCTTTCATCATGTTTGGACTAGTACTGTTATGATATATCGTTGAATCGTGAGACGTTAAATTGATGTAATGCGATTTTTTTTTTATATTTTTTGTTTGTTGCTTCAGTAAGTAACCTGTCACTCTTAATTGTCCATGTCACACATGAAACATAAGCAGTCTTAAATTGTTTTGGTCTTTATTTTGATCCACATCAATATCGTGATATAAAACAGTTTTATTTCCTCGACATTGGCAGGACTAAAAATATCAAATATTCATTTATCCTCTTGTTTTCTTGGTAAATATTGGCCTGGTTATGAGTTGTGATACAAATTATATACAGCACCTGAATCGCAATAGTGACTGCATTTGCAATACCCAGCACTAATTTGGACAACCTGGTTACTATGTTATCATATTTCTATATTCATCTGAAAAGATAAAATATGCAAAAATAATTACTAAAGGACTCCCAAACATATAATTATTTCCAATAGCCCTCACTGGAAACAAGTGGTTGCCATGCAAGATACGCCCACATTTTGCAAGAGATGGACAGAGCTGAATAAGTGATTTTTTGTCAAAATCAGAGTCCATAATACAGGAAATTTACAGTTTGATATGCGCTAATATCAAAATGAACTGAGATCTGTGACATATAAACATAGTTTCATCAAAATGAGAATAAAAATTATGATGTCTAGATTGTCCACAACCCTGTTATTACATAAAATCAGAAAATCTATGAGTGGCAAGTAGCCGTCCCAGATTTCTCTCATGAAGCGACTAGTTTCGTTCAGTTCGAACTCATCAAGCTATAATTTTTACCTCACCAAAACGAAATTTGATCATTTATATAACCGATTATGATCCCACTATTGTTCAATTCAGTAAGCTCTCCCAAAAGAAATGGCATCTATTATCCTATTCGGAAACAGCCCAGGTCATGCCCTATATTCTTCGAAAAAAAAGGAAAAAAGCTAATCACATCATTTAGAAGGCTGATATGTTTTACTGTGAGCAGAAATGTTACAATACAAATAATTGGGCCTTTCACGACTGATCCTGATTGAGACATAAATGATATGTCACGTTGGATAGTATTTGAGAGAGAGAGAAATGGAGTTTTAACGTCCACTCGACACAGACTAGGTCATTTCGGGACTAACATATGGTTTAATTTTATTTCAATAATTCTCTTGCACGTAGGGGTCTTTAGCAGTGGGAGGAAACCGGAGGACCCGGAGAAAACCCACGAGGTTGGACAGGCAACCCTACTCCTTGTCACGTACAACCAGGGATTCGAAACCACGCCAGTTGACTCAATGACAGGCCTCGTGATACAGCACGCACATGCTAACCATTCGGCCATCCACCTCCCCTGGATAGTATTTGAACCATTTTAAATCGAAATGGATTCACACTTAGGAACGAATGGCTACACAATTTCATAAGATTTAGTCCCGTAGAGTTCCCACATTTTTCTTATTTGTATCATGTTATTACATACTTTTACACAATTTGCATACAGGGGGCCAGTGATTTTCATGGTAAGTTTCGGTCAGATTTTCATGAAATTAGAACGTGCAAATTTGAAAATCGGATGTCAACAGTGATTTGTGAAGCATAATTATCTAAACCTGAATATAGCATTCAATCTCATCATTTATGCCCTATGACCACAGCTATGTTGAGATGAAATGGAGTTTAATTTCCTACTTTTCTGCACCAACTGGGAATAGCATGAAGTGTGCTATGTGGGGAAATTCTGCCTTCTGCCTAGACAGTGGTGCTATGGTCTACTTTTTACCAGATTAATCATTGAAGAAACCGGGACATTTATTATTCTGAGCAGACTAAAGCTAAATTCGACTCCGAGCATACAATTTGAAATAATAAAATTTGGTAAATAAATACGATTTTAATCGCTAAGTAATAAGAGGAATTATAGATGAAATACAATTAAAATCATATTATTGTCTACAAGATAACAATTTCTTATTAAAGGAGCTCCTATTTTAGTCATACGTTTTCGTTTGGTATGGCGCGCGCATTTCACATAAATTTATTTTTTGTGAACTAACTGTTACATTTCGCAAAATTATACCCAAGATCATACGTCAATTTCTATAAAGCCAATTGCATTGTAATTCCAGTTTTAGGCCTGTATAATGCACATTCGGCACACCTCGGTTATTCCTACGAAACCCGAGGAATGCCGAATGTATTGTGTACTGAACTATATTTAGATCAGAAGTGATGTGCTGTCGTGCTGAATTAAGAGTGTTTGTAGCAAACACTGTTTTTATACATTATAATCACTAGTTTATGTGTTATGTGTTTTTATTTTCAATTGAAAAACACCTGATTTGAAAACCGGGACATTTAGACACGTGAGAAGCCTCAGGACGGGACGACAAAAAGGACCCCAAAAACCGGGACGTATGGTAACCCTAGTCCTGCACCACTGACAAGGGAAGACTCATAAGCTATAAATAACCATCAAGAAGTCATTATGGGTCAGCGTGAAAATTGATGTTGCTAGTAGCCCATGATTATTTATTATGATATAGCTATATTTTTATTAATATAGAGCGAAGCTCTAAAGCACCGCGCAAAGAGCGGTGCTTGAGCAAAGCTCTTTTCCGGTAACACAGGAGCGTAATTGAAAAAGTCACTCACAGACTGTTGATTAAAATAAAATTCAGACAGGAACCGGATACACTGGGCAAAACAGGCAATGCGCATGTCAACTTACCAAATCTCGCCCAAGCGAGATCACGTAACTAACAAAAATAATTCTACACACCAACTCTCGCCCAAGCGAGATTACGCGCCTCATAGAACTATTTCTATGACGCCTCTAATCAATGACGTCATATATTTTTTACGTCAATGAAAATAATTCTCACACCTCTTTGTTCTTTTTTTAAAAACAAAATTAATGTATAAAATTTAGATCTAAATAAAAATTACTTTTGAAAAACAAAATTATTTAACATTTTTTGTATCACTTGAGAAAATTAATCATGAAGGTTTTATATTTGACAATAATCAGCTTCGCTCTACTCATGCAGGCAATCCCTGTTACATATTAGTTATCTGCCCGGTTCGAGTATTATTGTAGCCTACATTATCCAGACGGCATTAGCAACACAAAACATGAAAATTGCATTTCATCAGTAAATACTGACCATTTGAGATTATACTTACCGCTTTATACCAAATGAACAAATATTAATCTTCGAGTAACATCATTATCATTATCTGTCTCATAAATTCATTATTATGAGTCATTTTCATCGATCGATCTGACCGCTGCTTGTCAATTAGAATTGCCGAGAGTTATCCCGGAAACGGAATCTCTAACGTTAGAAAATATATAAAAACTTGACGACGTTCTATAAACAAATATGGCTGACTTTTGTTGAGAATTTAGGAAAAACTGAAGTTGGTGGGGAATTCACGAAATAGAAAGAATACAATTAGGTATTTTATAATTATTAGAATGTTATTCCAAATATTCAGATTTATAGAACATCGTTATTTCGAGTTAAGGCGTAAGCTTTTCCTAATATAAAGTAAAACAACTTCCCATATTGACGATTGTTGGGAGTTTGTTGAGTAATTTGAATTACTTTATCAGTATAATCCAACAAGTTCGATGTTACTCTTTGATATTCTGCATGCGAACAGTCAAAAGCTTTGTTCAAATGTTGATAACTAGTTTACTTCTTTCAGTGCACTGCAAAATTAATGATTACAGATTATGTATTTACCCACCTCGATCAATTGATTGAACTAGAATATTGAATTCCATTATTTTTTATGCTCACATCAGCTGCACTTCAATATGTAACAGGCATTGTTTAAAATTTATGTCGGTCCGTCGCCTATAAATAACTGGACGGACCGACATCTTTTTATTTTGAAGATGGTGGGTCGGCCCTGTTAGCCGACTATTTTCATCATGGATATTTTGTTCATGGTTCTATCAAATTTATATTGCCCCTATTTATATCCGAAATATATTTCATCCAGATATTTAACAGTATTTCATTACCGGAAATGAAAATAAAATTGTCTACCGAGAGAAATTATCATTGTAGGAGTGAGATCGTGCTTGCAAATATCAGCACGCTCCCAGAGTTCGTCAGAATATTATTTAACCATCTTGATCAAGTGTGGAATAGATGAGTGTGTGTTCCGATAGTATGCCTTACTTACTGTCTTATTTGTCTTTATCCGATATTGAATACACATGCATAATCCCGCATATTATATTCCTTCAATGGAGAGATCCAAACACGTATGCTACTAAACTAGGTCAGTCCATCTACTGTAACACTGTAAATCCGTTTTCCGAGCATCTCGGAGAAGAAAATTCACTGACTTAATTCCATCGTTTCAGGAGGAAAACACCGCAAATTTGGCATGATGGACCCACAAGTAGCTGTTTAATGTATGATTCCCATGTCATTCTCCAATAAAGTTCACTTATTTAAGCACAATTGTTCAGATATTAATTACCGATTCTACCATAGCGATGTATGTTTTGTTTACACGCAGTCATCTGGCAGACTGCGCATGCTCATTCGACTATTTTATATAGCCGAGTAATTGATGATGGCCGTTTTGCCGTCCCGTCCCGTAGCACATTTAAAAAAAAAAAGAAACAAATAATAATCACGCCGTAAAAAATAATTCTGTATAGAATGCACCGAGTCCAGTTATATATTCAAATTCAACAGTTGTTCTCTGAACCAAATACTGAATTAGAAATTGATAAAATGGACACAAATGTATCGTTCTTCTTTCTTGCGACAGTGGAGATAAACGTCAAAAGCTGAGCAAAGACGATTCATGTGGTTACATAAGAAAAAAAGGTTTTAAAAAATATTCACAGATTCAACTTGATCATCGTTTTATTCTTTCTGTTATTCATATTCCATCAAGGGGAAATTTTATAAAAATTGCCGAAGTTTTACTCCATGCATCAAACAACTATTTTATCATTGGTTAGAGCCGTCTAAACGCGGAGAAATTGACAGTAGCTATTGGCTAACAGCACGCATAAACAATCTTATTTGCATTTTGCATATTATTTATAGTATTATTAGCTGAAGTTATTTTTAAGTCGATAGCCGCAAGGACCAACATAGTACCATGTTTTTTGCAGAGTATAGCATGTATAGCGCAAAAGCAGACGATATATTATCAACCTCGCACGTACTGTCCAGTCGGCAATTGAATGTAAATAGGATAGACCATTTAAATCTTTTGTGTTAATAGTCCTGTAATTAATAGATAACATCTGATTGGTCGTAAAATGCATTTGTCATGTTTGTCACTTCCCGTTTCTTCACATGCTTGTTACACATCTCCCGTAGCAATGATCTCTGTGTTAAAGTTATATTTGGGATGTATTTAACCAGTTCTATCACATATTTTATAATGACTGACACCAATATTGTCCTTTAATAGAAATGCTAAACTACAATCATGGACTGTTTGCAATTACATCACTCTGTATATTTATTTATTTATTGATAATTTTGCAGTCCATATAATTTCTTTTTCAAGATAACATCATGATGAAAACTCAATTACCATCAAAAGGCCAGGAGCCATCTATGTACCTACAGAGACCATCTACAGGAAAGTCACAAGATGTTCGCCACATTCTTACCAGAACTTTCCGTGAGCTGTATACAAGAGATACCGTCCGACCAGAAACTGTTAAAAACCTTCAGGTATCAAAAGGCGGGGATGATCCTTATCATGAAAAATATGTGGAATCTTTACAAAAGGTAAAAATAAAAAAATATAAAAAATAAAATTAAATGACGTATGGATGTCTTCTATGTCAATGGTAATTCATCTTACAGTACTTATACATGATGGACGTCAGATGTGTATCCTATCCTAATGACCTTTTCCTTGACGGTCCTGTTGGCACGGATCCTAATAAGTGCAAGTAGGCCTACCTTAGCTTGAAAAGTAACAAGTTATTTGCCCTAATCACTCAACTACCTCATACTGTAACTTATATGATGTTTATTATGCTAGATATTTGATGGCATAGTTACTTGACCGATGTACATTCTGGCTAGGTTTCAAATCCATTCTCCTTTGAAACACTCTTTAGATTCAGAGTCTACACCCAACTGGAATTTAATGTCAAAGTGGTGGTACCATAGTGAAGCATATTTACTTTACAAACCTAAGTTCAAAAATGAAAACATTACAATGTTTAAGACTTTTTTTACCTATAATACTGTAATTTAGAGCAAAAAAACCCCCAAAACAAACCAAATAAAATTTCTGTTTTTATCGGATTGTTTTCAGGTTTATGATGAGTGGCAAAAAAGAATGGATGAGTCAGCCATGTTAGAGCGTCATATAATGCAAGCTCAGGCTCGTGCAACGTCAGCTGATGAAAGAGAATTAAATCAGACTTTAACTAGCTGTGATAATTATAGTGAACTCGGATTACCTCCAGGTTAGCTTATAGATAATATAGTGGGGATGAATGGCCGAATGGTTAGCTCGTGCGCATTGTATCATAAGGTTTGTCATTGAGTCAACTGGCGTGGTTTCGATTCCGTGGTTGTACGTGACAAGGAGTAGGGTCGCCTGTCCAACCTTGTGGGTTTTCTCCCGCTGTTAAAGACCCCTATGCGCAAGCGAATTATTGAAATAAAATTGAACCATGTGTTAGGCCCGAAATGACCTGGTTTGTGTTGAGTGGATGTTAAACCCCATTTCTCTCTCTGTTCATAGATAATATTCACATTTTGATTTAAACACTGTGCAATAACATGGAAATACATTAGCTTGCCAAACTCCAATATTAGGTCATTCTCTTTGAATTCCTAATGAGGAGGCCTCTTTGACATGTTCTGCTAATTTGCATCTCTAATCAGGAAGTTGTATGTTTTGTTATTGATTTGATGGAATAGGGGAGGGAGAGTGACTGAGTCGTCTGATGCATAATCTTTCAAGGTCATAGGGTCTGTTATTGAGTCAAGCGGCACGATTTTGATTCCAAAACCTCATGAGATTTATTTGGGTGCTCCGATTTCCTATCAATGAATATACCAGTTGTAACGTAGACCACCTTGATGCTACTATATTGCTGCTAATAATATGTATGTCCCTTTAATATCAGTAGGTGGGTTGGGTGGTCTGGTGGTTTAACGCATGCGGGTGAAATCATAAGGTCTGTCATTGAGTTAAGTGGTGTGGTTCCAAATCCCCACTTGTACCTAACAAAGAGTATGTTCGCCTGTCCGACCATTTGTTTTTTCTCCAGGTCCTCCGGTTTCCGTCCCACTGCTAAAGACCCCTACGGGCAAGTGAATTATTGAAATAAAATTGAATCATATGTTAGTCGTGAAATGACCTAGTTTCGTCGAGTGGACGTTAAACCCCATTTCTCTCTCTCTCAATATCAATATATTTTAAATGTTTTTAATCTTGTCTTATTTATATAGGGCGATCTAATTTCCGTTCGTGTATAGATACAGAATTATTACGATCGTACGGTTTAATCACACCAGAAGATTATTCCTTATCACAGCCTGATTTACATCCAGCTCCAGAACGTAAGTCTTAATCTTTTAAAGGCTCTAGAAAATAAAGTTACACCTATTTTATTTTTTGTTCTCACGAACACACACCAGTATTCTCACGAACACATACCAGTATCCAGAACGTAAGTCTTAATCTTTTAAAGGCTCTAGAAAATAAGGTTACACCCATTTTATTTTTTGTTCTCACGAACACATACCAGTATAAGCAGAAGGACTAAAATCACGCCTCTGCTTGTTTATTGGCCGAAAATTACAACTACCTATGGAGAATGGCGGAAATCTGTCCGTTGAAAATTACTTCTCGCAGGTAACATTGACCTTAGGGATCGTTTTATACTTATGGAAAGGATATGTTGACATAATTCTTTACATTTGGCCTATTTAAAGAATTTAGGAAGCTTTTCTGTTGACCTTTAACCTCGAGGCAATATAGCTTTAATAAAAAAATACATTTTCTATTCATCAGTAGAAATTATAGTTTTTTGTGGTTTCTATTTCCAAGTTGCTACATCAACAAATAGAATAAACAACTATCAACCTCCACAGAAGTCCAACACTCAATCGATCCAAATTGGACTTGAAAACTTATCTGTTTGAATTACATAGTTATGTGCCATGAACTTGGTGTTTGGACTTAATGCTTTATAAATAGACATGTTATTTATTATTATTTAAGACTGGATTCTTCATTTGCATTTTCTCTAAAATTTCAAATTTCTCACAGCTAATTAATGGACACTAAATATGTATTCAGATTAATCATTTAACATTTAGCAGAAAACCAAACCAAAATACAGATGCTTCATAATGTCTCGACTTGGATTCAATGAGATTTAAACTAGGCCCATCATCACTCTCTGCTACTAATAAAAGATGGCAGCCTTTTGTTATGCTCGAGCAGTGTAGATCGTTAAAATTTCAATTTATGAGAACTATGTAATAACTGAACGGAATTGAACCATTTTTGGTCTAATATTCCTATTAGAGATTCATATTGCACTAAATGACACACCAAACCTTTAATAAAAAAATGAAATGAAATGGGGTTTAACTTCTTACTGTTCTTCTCCTATACTGGACTAATGAAGACATGCATACAACAGTGTACTATGAGGGAAATATTGCCCGGGCAGTGGCACTATGACCTAAGCTTATATCAAATTCCAGCTGCCAAGGGATCTTTTACATGTATGCCAATGTATACACAGGACATCGATTTTTCGTCCCATCTGAACGACTAGACAGCTGAACTTATCAGGTCCTCCGTCCTGTACCACTGACATGAGGAAACCACGTCTGAAAATCCAGATGAACTGTCGCGTCAAATGCAGGATCGAACACGCGACCTCCAGGCTAGCAAGCCAGCGTCTGACCCAGTTAGCCACCATGGCTCCCCTGTAATAACAAATGATTTATTTTTATTTTTAGTATCAAAAGTACCAAGTTACGCGAGACAAACAGTCACATCAGAAAAACGTAGTAGAAAGAATGAAGAAACCGATGATTTACCGTTATTTGTTTTACCGCAAGTGAGATCTATGGGAGATATGATGTCCAGTAGTTTTATTTCTGCGGAGTACGATACAGAAAGTTTAAATGAAGTATTAGAATTAGTAAGTATTACACATAAACTGACTCGCATATCATACAGCAGAGATTTCTCTTACATAAACCTAATAATGTTAATGATGTACAAATATTGCAAAATGTAAGTCCCAAAATTACCTAGTCTCTCTCTCTCTCTCCCCTCTCTCTCTCTCTCTCTCTCTCTCTCTCTCTCCCCCTCCCTCCCTCCCTCCCTCCCTCCCTCTCTCTCTCCCCCTCTCTCTCTCTCTCTCTCTCTCTCTCTCTCTCTCCCCCCCCTCTCTGTCTCTATATTGCATTATTAATAACACTCTTGACAACTGGAAACATTTAATAAACTTCGATGTAATGATGTATACTTCAACATGTATAAATATACTTAATAAACTTTAATGTAATGATGTATACTTCATGTATAAATGAATATATTGTAGGAAAGCTATATAGATACCAATAACTGGAAACTAAATATGACCACGGAACAGCGAGAAAAAGATAGACAAGATTTGGCCAACATGAATGCTAAGATAAATTTTCTTCGAAATCCACGTCACATACCACCATCTGCTCCCCCTGGATGTAGAACTCTCATTAAACAGTTTAAAAAGAAACCAAAAGAAATTTGTATTCAAGAAAAAATAGAAGAATTAAAGTATGTAGATATTTGTATTTACCTGTTAAAACAAGTTTTGGACTAGTTTTACAAAAGAAATAATTAATGGAACTAAAAATGTACAATGAAAGGTAAACAAATTCCTCAAATGAGAGTGGTATAAAATGCTCAAGAAAGAGACAAGCATACCCTATTTGTATATTCACTTTATTAGCCGTCCGTCTTCATTAGGCCAGTCAGCGCAGGACAGTAGGATGTTCAACCCATTTCATTTCATTTCATTTATTAGCTGTGGTGGTGATTATCACTGTGATGTTGATATCATTGACTTACGAACAAATAACTTTTAGAAATGATATTATTTGCCACAAACAGATCAAAGTCGTCATTTTATATACATGTATAGTGTTTATTAGTAAGTAACCAGGTAGTAGCCATTATACAAGTAGGTGTTATGTCACTAAGGTGATAAAACTGTGACTATTAAATAAAATGCACTACTATTGGCTAAGTTTGTGTATTCAATACCGATGGGTATAAATTATAAATAGTTACACACCTGGGCCCTTATTCACGAAAACTTAAACTAAGATACAATCGAAATTTTAAGAAATACTGCAATTCGATTGGCTGACCAATATGCAAATTGGATATATGCAAATTGATTTTTCGTGAATAAAGGCCCTGTTAATTAATGACTACTGTATAATGACTACTATACATAATCATTAGTTTATAATAATGATCACTTATATGATTTAATGGCAAAAACTGTCATTACTAAAAGGCATGGGTTCATAAAGTCAACAGTATCAGTTTAACAGTGTTATTTCTTGATTCTATTTTTTATTTATATGTGTTTCAGGCCTGTTACACCATCTTTAATATTTATGGCCTCCCCTCCGGTTGTATCCTTTACAGAATATAAAGTAGGACAAGTTTATGAGGTAGGAAAATGAAAATAATGATATTTTGAGAATTTACTAGACTACAATTAGCCTGCAATATATATGCATTTGGGGTATATCACTAGCTGGAATATAGGCAATGTAATTGTCGCTTTTGGAACTTCAAGTTCAACGACACATTGCAATCATACTGTTTATTATAAGAAAGTTTGGAAATTCTACAACTAACCCCCGGATCCCTTCTCTTATGTCCCTTTGATGTTTGAGGTGTCTATGTATGTTGTGTCCTGTTTCTTCGTATTCATAGTTTTGTCTTGTTGTGTGTGGTGCAGTGTCCATACACTTACTATTAAGTTAGATTTTCAGATGGAATACACACAATTATAAGACACTTTGTAAATTCTTAATTTAGCTTTCCAGATTAGAATATACACTATGTGATTGTCATTTTCGTAATTTTAACAGCACTCTGTTTATTACGAGCAACTTTTAAAAATTTCAATTTATATTTAATTTTTCAGATTGTTTTAGAATTAAAAAATGTATCCACAGTTTTACGACAGTGTCGTGTTCTACCTCCTAAATCTTCCTACTTTTCTGTGGGTTTAGGTAAGAAAGCTACTGCCATTTTTTGTTCATACATGGATAATATTTTACATACCTTAATAGTTGATGAAAGTAAACACTGTAAATCGGGTATCATTTAATATTGTGTATCTAGCACTAATTTCTTTCACATTCATTCAATATCAAATCTTTGTTTAAAAATTTGTGAAGATCATTTAAAATCACCAAAATTCATCTAATTTGTGCTTGAGCCCACTTTAAAGCTGACCATTCAATTTTAACAATGAGTAACACTGCAGTTAGGCAACACAATGATTATTATAAGAACCTTGTAAAAACAAAAGATTGCATAAAAATATATTTTCTATCATTTGAAATACAGGAATGAAAAAGAAAGATTCCTATTCCCCCCAGATGTTAACCTTATTTTATATCAACAATTTATAGGGAGAGAGAGAGAAATGGGGTTTAATTTCCACTCAACACACACAAGGTCATTTCGTGATTAACATATGGTGCCCGTCTTCATTAGCCCAGGTTAGGAGCAGAACAGTAGGACGTTAAACCCCATTTCATTTCATTTCATTTCAATTTAATTTCAATATTTCGCTTGAACAATCCAAACCATAAGACAGAATTCGAAGTTTATATCATATTAGCTCACACTAGGCCTACTGTTTGGATTGTGATACTTTCATTAAACATACATTATGCAAGAGCTAAATCTGATTATTGCAAGTCTTAATTTAGGCTTCTGATGTTATAGATATCATAAATTAGATCTTTATTTAAACAACAAGCCCAAAATCAACTCTGTAGACCCACGGATGGCTCGGCTACAGCTCAGATTTAAATAGGATTTCACTTATTGATTAAATCAAATATGGCGCACCCTGATGAGAATATGCCAGTTAGATCGAGGCTAAATGATAGAGTGTACTTAGCGAGGCCGCTGTAGAGCCTTTCTGCACGCCATTGAAAACTTTACTTGATAATCGAGATTTGAAGGTAGAGTTAACGCCTGTCAATCAAACGATCGGCCAAGGTTAAAGCACAATTCACTACCATTTCTAGTCAAATAAACTGAAATTTTCAATATATTCTTCTTTCATCATCTACTTTTGAACTGTTATAGCAAGAATGGCCAACTCTCTATAAAATTCTCCCATAATGTATCTTTAATTAGCTGAATGTTTATATAAACCAGGTCAGTTTCCAGGAGAACATGGTCTAGTGGCGCCCGGCATGAGTTGTAAATATGCTATCAGATTTATACCCGACTCATTGAAAGATTTTCGTGATGAGATCATAGTTCAAACTCAGTCGTCAAAACCAATGATTATTCCTGTGGAGGGTAGAAGAGCTCCACCTTGTTTAACTAGTAAGTTGTCTTCCCATGAATATTACAAGAGAATATATGGAAATGGAGTTTAATGTGGTTTTTAATTGGGGACTAATTTTATCTTCTTAAATATCAATAAGAGTTATGCCCCTTTATTTTGGGTTAAAATATCTGACAAGAAAAATTTTGAAATAGCAACACTGGTTTAATGTTCTAATTTTCTATACCACAGCCAGTTTAATAAAGACAGACATATGTCATGTAGATTGCCATGAGGGGATTTTTGCTTGGACAGCAGTTTTATTCCCACTGTTTTTCAAATTTTATCTACCAAGTGTTCTTTTATATGAACACCTATATGTGTACGACACCTCAGTTGTTCGCACCATCTGAAGGACTTGATTGTGTTCCATGCGTAATGCACAAGGAGAAACCAAACTGGAAAATCGTAAGGAACTTTCCTGGCCAACACCAGGATTGAACCCAGAATCTTCCTGTTAGCAAGCCACTGCTATTCGCAGCACAGAATAGTGTAATTGATGGTGGTACAAATCAAGATAAGGGTCATCAATCTTTTCTATGGTTTCCTGTCCAATTAGCAATACATATCCTTTCCATAAGTATAAAACGATCCTGAATGTCAATGTTACCTGCCACAGGTAAATTTCAACGTTAGCGATTTTCGCCATTCTCTGTGAGTAATTTTCCACCAATAAAAAAGCTGTGACGTAATTTTAGGCCTTCTGCTCATAGATGAGAATATGAGCCGAAGGACTAAATTTATGTCACATTTTTTTTTATTGGCGGAAAGTTAAGACTACTCACAGAGAATGGCAGAAATTGCCTGCATTGAAATTTACCTGTGGCAGGTAACATTAACATTTTGGGATCATGTCATACTTATGGAATGGATATGTTGACATAATTACCTGCATTATTTAAATGATTTACAAAGCTTTTCCAAGTCATTATACATATATTAAATGGTTAAAGATGCTTTATGTAAGGCCTAAATCTGCCTATTGCATTTTTATAGACCATCGTATGGCTTAGATATTTAATGGATTAGAAACCTCTCACCATTCGATAATTAAATGACAAAATGTATAATCAAGAGTTTATTATGGTAGCAATGGTACTTGACAGTCAAGACTATCTTGTTAAAACTTCAAACATTCAATACTTGATTCAGAATAAAGTAATTTGAATGAAATTTTCAATATATTGATTTCTCATAATCTATTTTTTAACTTTTTTTTTTATCTAAATGTTACATAATGTATCTTTAATAGTGTTGTAAATGATTTATATTTTTACTGATATGAGATATAGGATATTTTATAGGTATATCTTACCTTAGGTCAGATCATTATAATGATCTTAGATAAACAATAGTTAAAAAATGTTTTATATGTGTTTTTAGTTCCACCAGTATGGGATATAGGATATTGCCTTGTAAGTGGTTTCCATATTCGTCAGTTTGTCATCAAGAATGAAGGGGGATCAGGAAGATTCTGTTTGATGCCAAAATCATCATGGCCTGCTGTTAACTTTAAGGTACAGTTTATTTGTTTGAAATGGAATCATTGAACAATTGTATCACTTGGAAAAGATCTAGCCAAAAAGATATTGAGGTTTAGGCATCTGTCCCCCATATTATCCCAGATCATGCTGGTAGTCATATGGTTGTTGTCCCGGAGAGAAGATTACTGTCTGATCCCTGAGCCATGCTGGTAGTCATATGCAGGGCTGCCGACAACCAGTATCGCAGCGCAATTTGCGATACATATTTTGTCCGTTGCTAATCAAAAATTAAAATCTAACGTTTTTGATTCGCAGTAACTGCGAATCATTAATATGCCTGTCATTTTGGATATTGACACAAAGATTTATCCACATTTCTCAACGCTTTCAACGTGTATAAAATATCAAATAAATTTTATAAACAAAACGGAATTCTCCGTGTGACATTTTCTTCTCGAACTACCCAGATTCAATTCATTATACTATATAATACAGGGACATAACTCTATGAATCGGGACGATTAAACCGGAAATAGGGAATCAAGTAGTACCACTCACGTTGCGAGACATGCCAATTTCGAGTAATTATATCAGTATTCAATTTGAAAAAAAATAAATTCAGTGTATCCCCCACGTATTGTAAATAAAATATAAAAAATAAATACGTGTAAACGTATTGTAAAATGAGAAATCAAAGTAAGAATTCCCGTAAACTATTATTGTTTATATCGCGCGCGTCTAGTTAATCGAGATTATTCGTAAAATACCGCGTGCTTCCGATTGAACAAAAATAATAACACACGATAAAAAGCAGACGAAATTGTTTTTTAACGAAGAAATAAGAAGCCACTGCCAAGAATTTGGCCTAACCAAAAGTCTACATTCATTCAGAAATGTTCACAGCTACCTGTAGAAGTACTAAAATTCTAAAAAATCTTAAGAATGAAATCTAATCCTTTGTTATCAATTGAAATTAAAATAATCTTATTTAGGTGTTTTATGTTGAAACTGAAAAACTGCTAATCAATTTTTAAATTTGCTAATCAAATTTGGCAAAATTGGACTTTTTGATTAGCAGTGCTGCTAATCATCTTTGAAAAATTACCGACAGCCCTGGTCATATGGTTATTGTCCTGGAGAGAAGATTACTGTCTGAGCCCTGAGCCATGCTGGTAGTCATATGGTTATTGTCCTGGAGAGAAGATTACTGTCTGAGCCCTGAGCCATGCTGGTAGTTATGTACATAGTTATTGTACTGGAGACAAGACTACTGTCTGTGCTATGCTGGTAGTCATGCAGATATATGTTCCTGGAGACAAGACAACTGTCTGACTCTGAGCCATGCTACAAATTGGATTTTTTTGTTGCTTAACGAACTACTTAACTATTGTTATTATAAACTTACACATATGTTTGAAATCTGCACTGCGATGAGAGACTGGAACCATAGTATCAGATGTTAAATTCCAATGGGATTATACAATTGACTAATATGTGTTTTAATATTGGGGTCAAGGAACTGTACTCTTGACTAGAATATTGCTGGTTTGAGCAAATTGAAAAAAAATTGTAGTTAAATGAGTTAGGTACCATTTGATTGAAGTCCTTGCCTGTGTAAATTGCCCTAAAGGTCAGGAATTATTCAAATTAAGTAAAATATATTTCTCAAATCTTCTATGATTTTTATTTCACAGTCAGCTGTCAGTAAACCATCCGTTACGATTGGTCCATTTGAAGTTCGACCTTCAACCCTTGAACTGTTGAAAGGTCAAACTGGGGTTATAGAAGTAATATTTCATCCGACATCAGCAGGAGTATTTGAGGAAGGGTTGACCATGGTTTGTGATAATTGTAATGTACAACATTACACCCTTACAGGTAAAAACAATTCAAATTTGGAATTTTTAAGATGCTGCCAGCTTTTTTTAGGTGATGCAATGGCAAGTTACTTAACTTGTTGGCATAGCTCAGGTCACAAAGATGATTGAAATGAAATAAAATGGGGTTTAACATCCTACTGTTTTGCTCCGACTGGGCGAATGAAGATGGCCATATGCCATGCAGTGTGCTATGAGGGAAATTTTGCCTGGGCAGCGACACTATCGCCTACTCTTATATCGAATTTCAACTGCCAAGGGATCTTTTACGTGCATGCCAATGTGTGCACTGGAGCTTTTTTTTTTATCCCATCCAAACAACTAGACATCTGTTCATGTCAGGCCCTCCGTACTGTACCACTGACAATGGGAAACCATGTCAGATTGTATTAAACTTTATATTTATATTCTGGCATATCTGGGCTTCAAATGAATACTTAAATAATCTGTCTATTACAGGTGAAGGTCAGATGGCGAGCGTAAGTTTAGAATACGTAGAGAATGGTGTAAAAGAGCCGCTGCCTGGTGAACTATGTGACAAATCAGCTCAACATCTGATTCAGTTTGAAGAACTCAACCCATACACATATATAGAACGCACGGTCAAAGTTAAAAATCAAACGTAAGTCCCTTTAGGTCTTAGAAAAAAAAAATATAGGAAATCCGTCCCAAAAATCTGATGTGGCAGGGAGGATTTTTTTTTCGGAGGTAGGGGTGGGGGCGGAGGGTATTTTGGAGGTGGGGGTGAGGGCAGAGGGTATTTTGTCAAAGGATTATTAGTGGGCTAAATGACTTCTCATAAGACAAACCTGCAGACAGACGAGAGAGAGATAAATGGGGTTTAACGTCCACTTGACACAAACTAGGTCATTTCGGGACTAACACATGGTTCAGTTTTATTTCAATAACTCGCTTGCACGTAGGGGTCTTTAGCAGTGGAAGGAAATCTGAGAACCCGGTTAAAAAACCCATGAGGTTGGACAGAAAGACAAACTACACAGACAATGGAAGAGATAACCAACAAATAATATCTCATCAAGTGAATGGATCTGGGGGCCAGCCGTTATCTCAATGTTCATATATTTAATTAGGATCTCTCCCATATCTTCACAAGTTGTTAATTTATTTTTATTTTTGTGTTTTTAGTAATGTAGAATTACCGTTTGAATGGAAATTTTATAAACCCCAGTTTAACACCGAAAGAAGTGCCGAGGATAAAGAGTTGGGTATTGTTGAAGGTAGTGCTATTGATACCAACCCTTCATTCAGTATCATACCTCCAGCTGGCACATTACAACCTCTGGAAGTAACAGAATATCAGCTAACATTCTCACCATCTAGTGTAAGTATATAAAAACACTCATGTTCCTGAAGGACAGCTGTCTAGTCGTTTGGATGGGACAAAAAGGTCCTGTGTACACATTGGCATAATTCAAATTCCAACTGTCAACAGTTCTTTTATTTCCATGCCAATGTGTTCATAGGACCTTGTTTTCTTGTGCTCCGAATGGTTAGACACTGTCCTTGCCAGCCAGGACCTCCATCCTGCACAACTGACAAGGGGAATCCATGCTAGATAATCCTCGAAAACATTCTTGGCCAACATCGGGATTGTACAACAGACCTCCTGATTAGTGAGTCAGTATTCGCTGACAGATTATTAGTCTAATTTGAGTAAAACTGGTATGATTATGTCCATATGTTCCTCTGTTTATTTATAGATTGGTGACTATCATAATGTTTTACATATGATGTTAAATCATCTACCACCAGGTAGTGCCAGTTCCACATCACAAGATGAAACCACCCAATCAGAAGATGACAAGGTTTCTGTCACATCATCACAGAAAGATGGTAATCCATCATTTTACACAAATAATTTGACCATTTTAAAATACTATCACAAGATTTATACATGAGTGGGAGAAACATTAACAAGTTTTATATTTAATCTTCTCATGGTACACAACCATATGAAGAGTCCAGGGGAAGAACGAGCTAAGTCACATTTTTGTCTTTTCGCATTAAAGGCAAAACAGATTTTTTGACCAGAATGCTTGACGCGAACAGATCAACGAGTGGGGTTAATTACAACTTCAAAATGATGTTTAATACGAATCATAATTACCAGTACAACAACTGACTTCCATTTTTCAGCCAAATTAAGGTCAAATAAAGGGTACGATGGACGTATTTTTCCGGGAGGCCATTTCAGAAGGGCCTTGGTTCGATGTGACTCCGAGCGTTTTTTACCTGAAATTGAGTGTTCTACAGAAAGCTTATACAATTTGCTACCAGATGGCACCATCAACTGGGGTTCTTTGAAAAAGTGACTTAGATCGTTTTTCCCCGGGGCTCTTCATGTACTCATGTATAACATGGCTGGCTAATGTCCAAACCCTCACCTGCTCACTCAAAACATATTTTTATTTCTCCTGCATTCATCGAAATAACATCAAAAAATCTATTATGGAAAGCATTGTCGCCGTTCTGGCCTCGCTCCACTCAAATCATGAAATAAGCAGAAATAAAGTCTCAAGAGCTTCTGAATTTATCAATTTTGTGGGTTATCCCCCAGACGTCACGCAATCTTGATGTTGTCTCCACCTTGGAACCCAGGTTGTTCAAATTTCTGGCCACATCCCTGGATGGATAATTTTATAGCTGCTGATTGCCATTTGACGGATTTTGAAGCTCTTTCAAACTACAACATGGTCAAAATTGCTGTAAGGCAATAGTTGAAAATTTATTTTGGTGAAAATGGACACAAATTTTGTCAAACTTAATATAAATATATAACATTAGATTTAACAAATGACTGTTTTGACCAAACATTTACAGTGCAATGATTTTTTTTTTATTATTATTTTAAGCTGTGCTGTTTAAAGATGTGACAGCGTTAGAAGTTGAAGTGAAAGGACAATGTGTTCCGTTAAATATTGTTCTACATCCCTACGCTATTTACATACCTGGTAAATTATTAGTTGGAACATCAATTAAGAAAATATTCTCGGTATGTATTCAGAATCTTTTTTATTGGTTTCATCTAATTTGGCATTTTGAAAACCATTGTGCAATTATGGTGATCATATAAAAGCATGCACATTTATTAAAATCCTCTTTTCAATTAATCTTTTTGCAAAATTTCAAATTCGGTCCCAATAAAATAAGACTTCCTATGCTGTTATGGTCAAGCATGGCCTACGAATGTCAAACAGCACCATTTAAACCTTCCCTAAACATACATTATGCTCAATCTGCCTATTGCCGGTCTTTCTTCAGGCCTGGGAGTTTGGATGGTCGAATGGTTGGCATGTGCACGCTGTATCATAAGATCTGTCATTGAGTCAACTGGCATGGTTTTGATTCCCTGGTTGTACGTGACAAGGAGTAGGGTCACCTGTCCAAGCTTGTGGGTTTTCTCCAGGTCGTCCGGTTTCCTCCCACTGCTAAAGACTCCTACACGCAAGAGAATTATTGAAATAAAATTGAACCATATGTTAGTCCCAAAATGACCTAGTTTGTGTGGAGTGGGCGTTAAACCCCATTTCTCTCTCTCTCTCTCTCTTTCTTCAGGCCTGAAATATTATCTAAAACACTTGATCCATAAATCTAACAATTTGCAACAACAGAAACAATGTCTTATTAAATTTAAATGATATGACTGGTTTGGTGTTTTGTTTTTGGGTTGTTTTTTTTTCTATAAAAAGATGAATTTTATTTTTCAGATGGCAAATCACAGCTATTCCACAATAACCTTTCAATTTGAACCCCATACAGATAAACATATCATAGAAGTTGAACCACCTTATGGAGAATTAGGTTTGTTAAACATTTACGTTCTCATTAACGTTTAGTTCTTTTATGTTTTTGCTGAAATATTGAAAGTTTTAAATTATACATACACTGTAACCCAGGTATCATTTAATCTTGTGTATCTAGCACTAATTTCTTTCACATTCGTTTAATATCAATTCTTTGTTTAAAAATTTGTAAAAATCGTTTAAAAATCACCAAAAATCATCTAATTTGTACATGTGTCCAGTTTAAAGCTGACTGATTAATTTTGATAATGAGTGTTCAATTTACAACTATTTAATTTCCTGATCACTGTTCAAAAATTAATCATTATACATCATTAATCAAATGGGTTGTTTATTTTTTAACGGAGATCGAGAAAATAAACACTTGTAAATTGGAAAATTGAAAGTTTTAAATTATACATACATACACTTGTCCCTTGACTTGAATATGGGTAAATTGCATTGTTAAAGGACTTCCATTTGTATTATTAAACATGCAACTTTATGATGATAGATCCCTTTTGTATGTGACAAGGAGTATTGTCGCCTGTCCAACCTAATAAAGGATCAGAAGGTCTGTCATTGAGTCTACTGCACTGGTTTCGATTCCCTGGTTGTACGTGACAAGGAGTAGGGTCGCATGTCCAACCTCGTGGGTTTTCTCTGGGTCCTTCGTTTTCCTCCCACTGCTAATTTAAAGATCCCTACGCACAAGCGTATTATTGCAATAAAATTGAACCCTAAGTTATTCTCGAAATGATGATAGATCTAATTGTTGTTCACTAAGCTATAGGTCTCGTTATTGCTCTCGGTGGTGGCCGAGAAAGTTTCCTTTTGTCCAGTGGTGCAGGACTGAGGGCCTGGCAAGGAAAGTGTCTAGTCATCTGAATGGAATGGAAAACCAAGGGTCCTGTGTATTGACTTGCACATAAAAGATCCCTTAGCAGTTGAAATTCGATATAATAAGAGTAGGCCATAGTGCCACAGCTCCGACAAAATTTCTCTTATAGCACGTTGTGTGGCGTATGCCCATCTTCATTAGCCCAGTTGGAGCAGAACAGTAGGACGTTAAACTCTATTTCATTTCATTTTTGAAATATGCCTGTCTTCATTATTGTTTCAGAAAAGTAGGAAGTTAATTTGATACTTTGGGGGGTGGGGGGGTGGCTGAATGGTTAGCACGTGCGTGCTGTACCATAAAGTCTGTCATTGAGTCAACTGGCGTGGTTTCGTGGCAAGGAGTAGGGTCGCCTGTCCAATCTCGTGGGTTTTCTCCGGGTCCTCCGGTTTCCTCCCACTGCTAAAGACACCTACGCGCAAGCGAATTATTGAAATAAAATTAAACCATATGTTAGTCCCGAAATGACCTAGTTTGTGTCGAGTGGACGGTAAACCCCATTTCTCTCTCTCTCTCTCTCTCTTTGATACTTTGGTCAATCTGTGTTTTTTGATGAATGTGATATTAAAGGGGCATTATGTAAGATTTAGATAAATAGCTAACCATTCTTTCTATAATAGTTCGAAAATAGATAATGTAAAAGGAATATACCAGTATTGAAAATGTCATTCAAACCCCTATTTCATTTCATTTCATTTTTGTCTTCAGTAGCTCAGTCGGTGCGGAAAAATATGACGTAAAACACCATTTCATTTCAAGGATAGACCACAGAATCTTATAATGATATAAGTCTAGTTTTTGTTCTCTTTGCTGCTACCTTAGACAGGGATAGTTGAAATAAGATGTTTTTTGTATTATTTAGACAGGGATAGTTGATGAGATGTTTTTGTATTATTTAGATCCAGGTATGGCTATAGATTTAGAACTGAGTATAACAGGTGAAGAACCAGGGAAATTAGATCATACTTTATTCTGTCATGTCCACAACATGGAGAATCCTTTACCTTTACAAATACAAACCGAATTCAAGGTGGGTTTTATTATTAGAAAATACAATAGTTTTTATTGAATAAAATAGACAGTGGAAGGGAGATCTAAACTATCATTGTGAGAAAGGTGAGAGAGAGAGAAATGGGGTTTAACGTCCACTCGACACAAACTAGGTCATTTCGGGACTAACATATGGTTTAATTTTATTTACATAATCCGCTTGCGCGTAGGGGTCTTTAGTAGTGGGAGGAAACCGGAGGACCCGGAGAAAACCCACGAGGTTGGACAGGCGACCCTACTCCTTGCCACGTACAACCAGGGATTCGAAACCACGCCAGTCGACTCAATGACAGACTTTATGATACAGCGCGCGCACGCTAACCATTCAGCCATCCAACCCCCCCTGTGAGAAAGGTAACCCAGGACTTTCAAGCATACATAGTTTAATTCCCCTTGTTGGCAAGGAACTGTGTCAAGTGTTTCGGATGGGCCAAAAAAGAGACCCTATGTACATGTTGGCGTGCACGTAAAAGAACCCTTGACAGTTTGAATTCAAAATAACTTCCCTCATAGCACACTTCATGGTGTATGCCAATCTATATTAATTAGATATATCCCAGTTGGTGCAGAAAAGTAGTTTGTTAAACACCATTTCAGTGGTGCAGGACGGAGGGCCTGACAGAACAGCTGTCTAGTTGTTCGGATGGGATGAAAAATAGAGGTCCTGTGTATACATTACCTCTTTTACCATGATTCTGTCAAGAGGTTTTTACTCCACAAACAGCTAAAAGACGCCCAAAAGAACAAATATATATAACTGTTCATTAAAGATACATTATGGGAGATTAGATCAAGAGCTGGCAGTTCTCACTATAATAGTTAAAAAATATCTAATGTAAAGGGGATTTGCTGAATATTTCAGTCAAAGTGACCCATTCTGAACCGAGAATTTAGCGATTGAATTTTTGGCCAAACCTCATTCATCATTACTAAAGTCAGTAAGATAAAAAACATAATCTTGATTATCCATTTCATGATTTAATGATTTAATCATGAATGAAAGTTGAGCAGCATATCGAATCCTAATCCAGTAAATATCTCAGGCTAGCGATGACATCAAGAGTTGATAATGATCTGGATAAGTTAATCAATGTCTGATTAATAAGTTAGATAACATTTCAGGCCCAAAGAAAGACATGCAATAGGCAGATTTAGCTCTTTGCATAATGTATGTTTAACAGTAACTTCCAGATAAATGTGTTCAAATATTAATAATGTTTCAAGCCCATTCTTCTGATAACAATATAAACAAGTTTTGATGTTAATTAAATATCTTAAATATATTGCCTTCAAATGAACGTTTGCAGGATTATAATTAATCTACATGGTTTGTTTTTTTTACCAAAAGGGACCTGAAATTAGCGTAGAAGAACCTAACGTTAATTTTGGTTTAATCAGACTCGGTGAAACTTCAGTAAGGGAGATTACTCTAAATAATCTCTCACAATTACCAACCAAGTGGAGCATATCAGATTTTGTCACAGCACCAGCTTCAGAAAACTCCATGGTAAGTTTATCGACCAATAGTTTAATTCTGTTGTTTTTTTTGTGAAATATTCAAGCACTTGTCTTGAAGTCATATAGTTTAAGGCAAGTGTTTGTTTAGATTTTTCGTGACATCACCGTTTGGGATACAGAGCTCTCAAACATTAGCTGTGTTCAAATCTAAACTCAAAACCTATTTTTTTGTGACTTAATTACTATCAGAATTAGACATTATGGATGGAGTGAGTGCAATCATAAATGTACATTATCGTATTATTATTCAGCGGTGGTTCGTTGTTCGGTATTTGCGATTAACAAACAAAGAGCCAGTTTGTTGTTCGTTATTCGCCAATATGAAACAGCTCATTGTTCAGGTAGAAAGACAGCTTGTCAGAATCTCAGAAACTATTTCCCAAGACTTTGATGTGTTATTAACCAAAGCACTCCTGTCATATTTCCTATAAAAGTGCCTTTATTATATTACTAATTCCATATATCTGGTGAATAACGCACAACAAACTAGGTCGTTGTTCATTATTCGTGAATACCGAACAACAAACTAGATCGTTATTCATGAATACCGAACAATGAACCAGAAGCTAAGATCACATCGCTTTATTTTTAATATTATTAATTCTATGACTTTTATAAGTCTTATTTGTTTTGTGTTTTGGTACACTACAGGAATCTAATGAGGTAATGTTTAATCCAACATCTGGTGAACTGAAACCTCTGGAGAGAAGAACTATCTCAATACATTTTACACCATCTAAAGTTGCTACTGTCCATAGAGTCTTTGAAGTTAGTGTTGAAGATGGCAATAAATGGTAAGTCTGATGAAATGAAATGAAGTGTGGATTAACGTCTTAATTTTCTGTACCGACTAGCCTAATGAAGACAGATGCATTGAAATGAAATGTATTTTAACGTCCTACTTTTCTGCATCTACTGGGCTAATGAAGACAGATGCAATGAAATGAAATGGGGTTTAAAGTCCTACTTTACTGCACTGATTAGGCTAATGAACCCAGATGCAATGAAATGAAATGTAATCTAACATCCTACTTTTCTGCACCTACTGGGCTAATGAAGACTAGCCTTGACAGATGCTATGAAATGAAATGGGAGGTAGCTGAAAGGTTTAATGCATGTGCTTTAGATCATGCAGTTTGTCATTGAGTCAAGTGGCATGGTTTCAAATCCCTGCTTGCATGTGACAAGAAGTAGGGTTTCCAGATACTTTGGTTTTCTCCCACTTCTAAAGACCCCTACATGCATGTATGAATTAATGGAATTAAAATTGAACCATATGCTAGTCCCCAAAAAGGACCTAGTTTGTGTCAAGTGGACGTTAAACACCATTTCTCTCTCTTTCGGGGTGTTGGATAGCCGAATGGTTAGCGCGTGCATGTTGTATCATAAGGTCTTGTCATTGAGTCAGCTGGCATGGTTTCGATTTCCCAGTTGTGGGTTTTCTCTGTGTCCTGCGGTTTCTACCCTTTGCCAAAGATCCCTACTGGCAAGCGAATTATGGAAATAAAATAGAACCATATGTTAGTCCCTAAATGACCTAGTTTTTGTTGAGTGCAGGTTAAACTCTCTCTCTCTCTCTCTCTCTCTCTCTCTCTCTCTCTCTCTTATGATGAAAGGTTGCATCTTATATTTTAATAATCATCAGTGTTTTTTGCCTTCAGTTCTATTGCTGGTTATGCAGAAGTTCAGAGTCCTGCTGTTTGTCTAATGGAGTGTGAACTATCACCCAAAGATATTTATGTTGGTGTTCCTGTACTCTGTAAAGCTGTTTTACATAACCAAACTTTTATGACTACACACTTTGAATGGGGCAAGGTATGTTTTATTTTGTAACAGTTGAATTTATGTTCTTTCTTGAAACCTTTTAAACTTTTTCTTGGTTATTTTTTTTCAAATATTCATATGTCTAAATTTTTAAGCTTTAGAATTATAAATAAAACATCGCTGAAGAATTAAAATTTAAAGAAAAATGATAACAATTGTTTACTTTTTATCAGAACCTCATGTAAAAAAAAATTTCAAGTTCTAAAATTTTAAACAAAACATCTCACAAGCCACTTATAAAGAGACCCTTATAACTAACTTTTGGACTCAAAGTGATATAGATTATTAATTAGAAATTTATTAACATGACAAGACCATAATCAACTCTCTAGACTATCCGATGCTCTGATTTTCATCAGATTGAAACAAGATCGTTGTTTAATAATTCAATTAAAAAAAACATAATCAAGATGTTGTTTACTATCATCACAATGTTAGCAATGACAATCGAGACTTCGCTATTCTCCAAGAAGTCCTAACATCGCTGAGAATGAAGTAATTTAACTGAAATTTTCAATATATTCATTTTTCATTATCTATTTTTCTACTACTATAGCAAGAGCTGTCAGCTCTTTATCTAAATCTTACATATTGTATCTTTAAGAGACCCTGAGGAACTAAAATGACTTTAGTTTTGTCTAAGATCAATTTGATAATTATAAAAAAAAAAATAATTCAGTGATGGAATCAACAAATAAACTAATAATAAAACTTGATCACTTGTGGTTTGATTTAAACATACATTATGCAGGTCTTTCTTTAGGCCTGAAGTGTTATATAAATTATTAATTAGACATTTATTAACAAAGCAAGACCATAATCAACTCTTGATGGAATCGGATGCTCAAGATATTAACTAGAGGCATTTCAAAATTTAATTTAAAAATGGGAAAGCGAGGCTCAATCTCGAATATACCAGTGCCCTGGTTACAACTATGCACGCATTTTGTCAAAACTACAACCAGTTATAACTTTGCTCAGAATGAAGTAATTTGAATGAAATTTTCACTATTTTCATTTTACATTATCTATTTTTGAGATACTATAGCAAGAATGGTCAGCTCTTTATCTAAATCTTACCTATGTTTAATATGAGTTGTTATGTTGTAGCCTGAAGGAAGATCTAGTGAGACATGTAGTATAGAAATAGATCAGATAAATGGAAGACTTGCACCTAAAGAAGAAAAAACAATCACTGTTAGCTTTGTCTCTAGTCAAGTGGTAAGCAAAATTTACTACTCTATATATACCATCAACTGTTAGCTTTGTCTCTAGCCAAGTGGTAAGCAAAATTTACTACTCTATATATACCATCAACATTTAAAAAAAAAAAAATAATGTCAATTCGAGTACCGGTGTATAAAATGAAATTGGGTTTAACACAATGCGTTTCTGCATCGACTTGGCTAATGAAGACGGGTATACGCCATGCATTGTTTGTTATATATGAGAGAAATTGTGCGCGGACAGCGGCACTACGTTCTACTCTTATATCAAATTCTTCAAGGATTGTTTTACATGCACATCAACATGCATTTTCCATGCCTGACCGGAGACCTCTGGGCTGGCTAGCCAGTGTCTTACCCACTGACCCACCGCAACTTCCTAATTCCAGTTCACTATGCATTTAAATAAAATAAGTATTTTTGCTTGAAAGTCGTGTAACTTCTCCATGGGGAAAATTTTAGTAGATCTTTTTGTTAAACTTATTGCTTGTAATTGATTTACGTTAATTCTTATAACCACAGGGGCTTGTAGATGATTTAAGGATACCCTGTAAAGTTGAAGGTATGGATCAACCACTGTGTTTGAGTTTAACTTGTGATGTTCTTGGCCTTTCTGTTGTATGTAAAACATCAGACAGTAAACAAAATATGAGGTAGGCTCAGGGTTTTTTGTTTTAAAGGGGTTTTGGTTTAAAAAAAAAATTTTGTTTTATGAAAGTTTAGTATGAATAATAGTTTTGAAGCTTGGACCATAATACTGAGAATACTGGAAAATCATATGATGTTTACACTGTAAAGTTGATATTGTTGACTAAGCAACAAATAGCTTTTATAAATGACAATGTATGAATCTAACAGATCTAAGTCGTCATTTTATATACATAATGTTTATTAGTCAGTTATAATTGTTAGTAATCAGAAGGTAGTCATTAAAGTAGGTGTTTTGTCCCTAAGGTGTCATTACTAAAGGGCCCAGGTTCATAAGTCAATGGTATCAGCTTACCAGTGTTAAGAAATAATACAGGGTATAATTATAGCTCTCCTGTCAAAAGGTGACACCTAGTAACTCACATTTTTCTTATTTTGAGAAAACAAAGGAAAACGTAATAAACGAATATTAAACTCCAGCTTATGCATTGATTTGACTATTGAGTTACTAGGTTTTTCTGTGGCATACTACTAGACAAATGAAGGAAGTTGCTAGGTTGTGTCATGGGTTTAACTGCTTACAAAATCAAAAGATTGGAATATCTAGTACAACAACAGGAAGCACATACCCTAGTAACTACAAATTTTGATTAAAAAAAGTGAGTTACTAGGTTTTGACTTTTGACAGGAGAGCTGTTATGAGAAAATGTTGTTCTACTTGTTACTACTGCCTTGTTTGTCAGGTTAAAATGGAGGGCCATTTTACTTGTAAAAGTATGTGTTTGTTGAAGTCAAACGTGAATCAACATGTCTAAACCATAAAGATACTTTCCCCACGTACAAACTGGGTGATTTGATGATATATTTGGACTAAAAACATATTCAAACTAAATAATCTATCAAAAATTTGCTTCCCCAATCCCTCTCAAAACTCTGTATTCGTCGGGAGATACTGCAAGCTATAAATAAACTGGTGTTAGACACCATGTGGGAGGGTCCATTTTTGTCCCCCGCCTTTCGAAGAAAGCAGGGGACTATTAAAATGGGTTCGTCCGTCTGTCTGTCCGTCTGTCTGTCTGTCCGTCTGTCTGTCCGTCTGTCTGTCCGTCACACTTTTTGGGACACAATAACTCTCTTCCTAATTGAGCTAGAATGTTCAAACTTGGTGTATGTGTTTATTAGGTCAATGCCTTGATGGAGTTCGAAGATGAGCATTTTCCGCTTAGGGTAAGCAGAGATAAGCAATTTGATTGGTTGATGCTTTGGGACACGATAACTCTCTTCCTAATTGGGCTAGAATGTTCAAACTTGGTGTATGTGTTGATTAGGTCAATGCCTTGATGGAGTTTGAAGATGAGCATTTTCCGCTTAGGGTAAGCAGAGATAAGCAATTTGATTGGTTGATGCTTTGGGACACGATAACTTTTAATTGAGCTAGAATGTTCAAACTTGGTGTATGTGTTTATTAGGTCAATGCCTTGATGGAGTTCGAAGATGAGCATTTTCCGCTTAGGGTAAGCAGAGATAAGCAATTTGATTGGTTGATACTTTGGGGCACGATAACTCTCTTCCTAATTGAGCTAGAATGTTCAAACTTGGTGTATGTGTTGATTAGGTCAATGCCTTGATGGAGTTCGAAGATGAGCATTTTCCGCTTAGGGTAAGCAGAGATAAGCAATTTGATTGGTTGATGCTTTTGGACACGATAACTTTAGTTCTAATTAAGTGAGATTGATGAAACTTGGTGTATAGTTTCATTACAGTAATACCTTGACTAAGTTTGATAATGAGCATTTTCTGCTCAGGGTAAGCAGAGCGATACGCAATTTGATTGGTCGAGACTTTGGAAAACAATAACTCTCCTACTTTGATTGTTAGACTATAAGTAAAGATATACTGTTTGATTGTTCAATACTTTGTAAAAGATAATTTGTGATAAATTTATATGTGTCCTCTAATTATTTTCCTATTTCGGCGGGGGACATCAGCCTCACTGTTGGCTTGTTCAGAATGTATTTTTCGTTACTTACTGTTCATGTAAATGTAAACTACATTTTCCGCCATTTAATTGCAGAGTCTTTTGTACGTTGACCCCCCCCCCTCCTTAATGTTCCCAAAACCGCCTAACCATTTCATCAAAAAATAACAACCGCTCCCTCAGTAAAGCTAGCACACAGTTGGATTGCCAGTTACTGATACCCTGACATTTTTGCCAAGTGCTTGCCCCATGGGTATTTTTCAGTGAATCCAGTACTTTTTTTTAATAAGATGTATCTTTAAAATATCGTTTCAGTGAGAAACTAGAAGTTGATTTTGGAGAAGACGTAGACTTGGGAGCTAATCCTAGACGTTATTTGTATATTTGTAATGAGACAGCTATACCAGCTAGTTATAGTATAACTGTAACAAACTTCCCTGTTACTCCACCAACTCCACCAGAAAAACGACTTGATACAACAGGAACAAGGTAATTACAACATCTAACCCACTACCGGGAGGTGCGTGGGGGCAAGGAGGGCAGCTCCCCCCCCCCCCCGGGTGCCGAATAAAGCCCCTTCCATTGAATGCAATATGAAGCCAACGATCAATGTGCCCACATCAGTATGGGTGCCCCATAAAGCTGAGTGACATTGGTTGGGTTGCCCCCAGCTAGCTATGGGTCTGGGGGCTTGGGTGGCCAAATGGTATAGTATGTGCACTTTAGATCATAATGTCTGTCATTGAGTCAAGAAGCTTGGTTTCGATTCCCAACGTGTACGTGACAAGAAGTAGAATCGCCAGTCCAACCTCATGGGTTTTCTCCGGGTTCTCTGATTTCTTCCCACTTCTAGAAACCCCTACGAATAAGCGAATTATTGGAATAAAATTGAACCATATGTTAATCCTGAAATGACCTAGTTTTTCTGGAGTGGTCATTAAACCTATCTCTCTCTCCAAGAGACTCCAATTTCTGATATTTCTTGACATGGAAATTATTATTGACCTTGTTGAAATAACTTACATTTATTGGTGTTTTAAGTTTGTCCACCCATATATTCTTCATGTTTGTTGTGAGAGATTTATTACAAATTTGAATTTTCTGTAATAAATGAATAGTTTTCATTTAATTTCAAAACTCCCTTTTTTCAGTATGAGAAAAGCTCTACTGGGACGAACCCCTAATTTGGCGGATACAGTCTCAGGAGCCAGAGCTCAATCAGGTAAGTGTTGATGGTCAAAAATGTTTTTAAACAGAAAAATATTAATATCTGGTGTCAATGAAATATTGATTCAAATAGGTAATAAGATTGAATGGAGTAATGATAGCTCATGATCAGTGTGTAAGGTGCTGGCTTACTAACCTGGCACCGACAGGTTTCCTCTTGTCAGTGGTGCAGAACGAAGGAACTGACAAGGACAGCTGTCTAGTCGGTCGAATGGGATGTAAAACCGAGGACCTGTGTATACATTAGTGTGCACGTAAAAGATCCCTTGGCAGTTGGAATTTGATATAAGAGTAGGCCATATTGCCTGGGCAAAATTTCCCTCATAGCACGCTGTATAGCATATGCCCGTCTTCATTAGCCCAGTCGGAGCAGAACAGTAGGAAGTTTTATACCCCATTTCATTTCACTAACCAGGCGGTGACAAGTTCTATTCCAGTGCTGATAAAGTTCCACTGGATTTTCCGGCATGGTTTTCCCTTCCCACTAGTGGTACAGGACAAAGGGTCTGGCAAGGAATGGCTTACAGTCGTTCCAATGGAACTTATTACTGAGGTCCTGTATATATATATCTTGGCGTGCACTTAAAAGAAGCCTTGACACTTGGAAATTATTGTCTGTCCGAGCATTATCTCTTACAAGTTAGTTTAAAGTGAAATGTGCAATAGTCTTGATTGATACTCTTATGTCTAATGATCGATTAAGACCTATAATATTTTGTGTTTGTTGAATTTTATATCAGATTTATCTAAAGCAGTGTTAAGTAGTGGATTAGGTGCTGGTTTTAGTGTGAGTCCAGCCAATGGTAACTTATCACCGTATGGAGAAGAAGTTATAGAGATAACAGCGTATAGTAATATATGGGGTAGTTATACAGATAACATAACTTGTAAGGTGGGTATTTACAGATATTATTCCGAGTCTATAAGCGTGGATTAAGTCTTAGAAATTTGACAATTTTCATTAAATGCAAATCAGACATCGTTACTTTAAACATACATTATGCAAGAGCTAAATCTGCCTATTGCAGGTCTTTCGTTTGGCCACAACTGCTATATAAATCACTAATTAGACATTAATTAACTTATCCAAACTATAATCAACTCAAGATACAATCGCTTGCCTGTGATATTTATTGGATTGAAATACATTTTGTGAATACCGGTAATATTGAAACGTAAAAATGGATATTCGAGACGTCAGTTTTTTTTCGTACTGACTTTAGTAATGATGATCGAGGCTAGCCTATAATTCAAAAGCTAATTTTCAGCATATTCTATTTACGTTACATGTTTTTCAACTCTTTATCTAATCTCCTATAATACCCTTTTAAAATAGAACACTAAGATTGTACTAATGTTATAGAGAATTAAGATAGGAGATTTTATTAGGGTTTTACTATAATACCCTTTTAAAATAGAACACTAAGATTGTACTAATGTTATAGAGAATTAAGATAGGAGATTTTATTAGGGTTTTACTATAATACCCTTTTAAAATAGAACACTAAGATTGTACTAATGTTATAGAGAATTAAGATAGGAGATTTTATTAGGGTTTTACTATAATACCCTTTTCAAATAGAACACTAAGATTTTACTAATGTTATAGAGAACTATGATAGGAGATTTTATTAGGGTTTTGCTATAATACCCTTTTAAAATTGAACACTAAGATTTTACTAATGTTGATGTAAATAACAGAGATATTACTGAATACATCATAGAGGACTGAGATTTACAGAATATCAATAAGGTCTAAACAGCTATATGTTTTGCAATTGATTTGCTTGAATCTTCAAGGATTAAAAGTTTGAATTCTGTAATCTTAGCTGTAGAAGCAAACCTGGCAAACTACCAGGTAGTTCTTCCTCAGTTGAATTATTTTACATAGTACCATTTACCCATATTCAGGATCACTTGTTCCTGATTTTGTAATAGTATATGTTTATGTTACAGGTAGGTGATATGGAAGCTATAACGATACCAGTTAGTATGACAGTTGTTGGATGTCCTCTAAACTTCCAGATGACAGCGGCAATACCAGATCAAAAACCTATTGTCAGGTACAAAAACATCATATATCTAATATCTCACTGGGTTAAAGAAGAAATGTATTTCAGTAAATAAAACTAGTTTATTTTGTACAATGAGGGATGGGTGACCGTATAGTCTAAGTGTGCACTGTAGCTCATAAGTAAATCAGTTTTTTCTTATTTGGATGTAAATTTTGGACATGTTGTAAGAAGTGGTCTAAATTTGTACCTCAAATATTAAAATGCAATAATGATATGATGAGTTTGTTAACAATCAGTAAACTATATAATATGTCACAATATGTGCCTGTTTCTAGATTTGGAACTCATGTATCTGGTGTCAGAAGTGTTAAAAGAAATATGAGAATCAACAACACGAGTCCTTTTGGTACGTAAACTTATATCATTGTATCTTATTATTTGGTTTTACTGGAATACAATGAGTAATAGAACCAGGTGAATAACAGAATATAATAATTAATGGAAAATATTATTCTTTGTTTTTAATTGTAGATATTCGATTGGATTGGAGAGTGTTTAATCAAATGAAAGGAGATGACCAGCTGTTAGATTTTACTGTGTGTTACGGCAGATGTTTTCCAATACTGGATCAAGATGGAAATGAGATTATCAACTCTGATGAAGGTTTCACAGTTAATTTATTTTTCATTAAAATCGCATCCTCTTATAATAGGACTTATTTTATTCAAGGGTGTTTTGTCAGTGAGTGGTCTAACACATGCATTTTAGATCATAAGGTCGAACTGTCATTGAGTCATTTGGGGGGTGAATGGCTGAATAGTTAGTGTGTGCGTGTTGTATCATAAGGTCTGTCATTGAGTCACATGTGTAAGCTGATACCGTTGACTAATGAAGCTAAGCCTTTTAGTAATGACAATTTTTGTAAATAAATCTTATAAGTGGTCAGTATTCTAAACTAATGTTTAGTATGTATAGAAAGTGGTTAGAAATTATACAGTTGTCATTAATTAGCAAGTGTGTAACTAGCTGTAAAAAATGTGATTATTTATAACACCCATCACTATTGAATACACAAACCTAAGCAATAGTGGTGTATAAAACAAAACACCTACTTAATGACTACTGCCTGATTACTAACAGATTTAACTAACTAATACACATTATGTATATAAACTGATGACTTTGATCTATTAGTGTCGTATATTTTCATTTATAACAGTTATTTGTTGCTTAATCAACGATATCAATGTTACAGTGTCAACTGGCTTGGTTTTTGTTTGCCCTGTTGTACATCACAAGGAGTAGGGTTGCTTGTCCAACCTTGTGGCTTTTCTCCGGGTCCTCCAGTTTCCTCCCTCTGTTAAAGACCCCTACACACAAGGGCATTATTGAAATAAGATTGAACCATATGTTAGTCCTGAAATGACCTAGTTTGTGTCAATAATTAGGTAAAGATACTATAACTCTTCAGTCGTCTAGAGAAAAGTTAATGTCCTCATCAGTTTTGTAACATAGGTTTCCTCACTGCAAAAAGTTTTAGTGATCTAGAAAATTATTTAAAAATATATTTACAAGTCCTGTAATGACCCAGCTTGTGTAAAGTGCACATCAAACCTATATTTTGACTTCTATAATAGTTGTTTATTTTAAAGTCTTTAACTTCATAAAAAAAATATAAATCTCTTCAGAGATGCCAGCATTGGAAAGAGCACCAACAGAATTTATTCCAAATTCTCCCGACACAACTCCTGCAGTCAGTCGTCAAGTTACAAGAATCACAGAAGTGTTGGAAAAAGTTCCTGAGAAAGATGAGTTAGCTGAAGTGCCTGAAGATGTTCCAGTTGAAGAAGTATCAGATAACGCTCCAGAAAATGAAAATAAAACAGGAGGTCCAGAAAACCCTGGAGAGGAAATTGTTTTAAAAGACGATAAAAATGAAGAAGAAGTGAAAGAAACTGAAGAAAATCCTAAGATCATTTCAGTATTTTTGAATGCTCATGAAGGACAGATTTCTCAACGACCGTATAAAATTACACCAGAACAACTGGTGAGCTATTCTGTATCACTTGATATACACTGTATTATGTTACTATGTTTTTATAAGACCGGTTATAGCTCTTCAAATGGATCTTTTGTTTTAAAAAAAGTTCTTTTGTTTTAAAAAAAGTTCTTTTGTTTTAAAAAAAAGTTCTTTTGTTTTAAAAAAAGTTCTTTTGTTTTAAAAAAAGTTCTTTTGTTTTAAAAAAAAGTTCTTTTGTTTTAAAAAAAAGCTTTTTTGTTTTAAAAAAAAGATCTTTTGTTTTAAAAAAAAGCTTTTTTGTTTTAAAAAAAGGTTCTTTTGTTTTTAAAAAAAAAAAATATATTTTATTTTTCAACAAATGTTCTTTTATTTTTTAAAAAAAGTTCTTTTATTTTTTTAAAAAAAAGTTCTTTTATTTTTTAAAAAAAAGTTCTTTTATTTATTTATTTTTTCTTTTATTTTTTAAAAAGGTTCTTTAATTTAAAAAAAACAGTTCTTTTATTTAAAAATAATTGATGTTTGGTATTGTCAATCCGAATAAAAAAATACTGTGGGGAAATAATGTGCTTGCTTTCTCGCAGTAAAAACCTGATATACAATGGTTTCTTTTTATATTCCTCACATAATTGTTGGATGTTTTGTTTTTTAAAAAAAGGTTGTACCAGCCAATGGCCGTGCCCAGGTTTTTGCTGTTTTTACACCACTACCAGCCAATCAGGTGACCGATGTTATGGATTGTCTTGGTTATGCTCTAGGTTATATGAGTTTAGATGGAAAGGTAAGATTAATTATGTTCTAACAAATCCCTTAATGTATGTGATTAAAATACAATCTGATTAAAATACAGATTTATATCTTGTTTGTTTATTTTTTTTTATACTTATGATGGCCTACACTACACTAGTGTAGTAAAGAAATGAAATGAAATGGGGTTTAACGTCCTACTGTTCTGCTCCTATACTGGGCTAATGAAGACGGCCATACGCCATACAGTGTGCTATGAGAGAAATTTTGCCTGGGCAGTGGTGCTACGGCCTACTCTTATATTGAATTCCAACTGCCAAGGGATCTTTTGTGTGCACGCCAATATGTACACAGGACCTCGCTTTTTCGTCCCATCCGAAAAACTAGACAACTGTCCTTGTCGGGCCCTCCGTTCTGCATCACTGACAAGGGGAAACCACGCCGGAAAATCTGGATGAACTTTCTCGGCCAATGCAGGGATCGAACACCCGACTTCCAGGCTAGCAAGCTAGCGTCTGACCCACTTAGCCACGTGATCCCCCGTGTAGTAAAGACAAATTAAACAAAATTTTGAACTATTAAAAACGAAACGAAATAGGATCTGTGTTTTAATAAGATTGACTAAAAATAAACAGGCCTTCAACTAATGACTCTGACCAAATGGCACAGATACCTAGTAAAAATAACAGAAAAAAAGTTGGGAATCTGTCCTGAACAAAATGTCCATGATACTATAAGGAATTAAAACGATTAATAAACAAACAGAAAATAAGTTAATATCCTTAAATGACATTTAGTAGTAGAGATATAATATTCATAATAACACAACTTTATGGATGTACTATTTCTTGGTTTATTACATACAACATTTCAATATTCTTATGTGGTATCTTTATCAAGCAATGATCAATAATGAAGTAGTATGGTAAATCCATAAAGTTGCATGTAATAAACCAAGAAGTAGTAAATCCATAAAGTTGTGTTATAATGAAAGAAAATAAGTTGAGAACCTGTCCTGAACTAATTGTCCCAGATAGGTATCGTATCAAAAAAAAAAATAAACAGAAAAAAGAAGAATCTGCCCCAGATGAAATGACAGGCACCAGATGAATTGCACCTGACAAAAAAAAAGAATTTGGTCCTGACGATGTCTGTGACAGGTGTCTTATTTCCAGGCTTGTTCACCTATTTGATTACCTGTGGATTATATTAATTTCTATTGAAAACTGTTAAAATTACTTCCCTGGACAGTTAATTTGATATTGTTTTGTTTTATTAGGCTGCTGGTATACCTGGTCAGGTGTGTAGAAAGGAGGCGTATGAAGCCTCTACATTAAGATTAGATATGACAGCACAGCTCAAGCCAGCTCTGTAAGTAATATACAATATCCAATATTAGTCAAATTAGTGCTTGGTATTGCCACTGAAGTCACAATACGATGCGTATTGCAATCCAAGTGTTATCACGATTCTTAAAGTTACAATTTCATATTTTTAAGTTATATTTTTAAATTGTATGAAAATAAAGCCCTAAAATAGATGGTATCTATAAACAGTCCTATCTTGTTAAAGAATAATCCTATTAATCCTATAATTCACTATTGCCAGTTGAGAAATTGGCAAAAATATCATTTTCAACTTCAAATTCAAATGGGGAATAGGAAAACAAGGGAGGTAATTGTGTTATTATTTCCGGTGTGAAGATTTTTAAGTGTGAGAAAGATAACCTATGATCGTATAATAGTGAGTTGACAAGCTATTCAGCGAAAGACATAGAAATAATTATGTTTTGACTTTCTTAGAAAATATGAAATTGTAACTTTAACCAGGTCCAAATTTACCAAGAAAACAACAGGATAAATGAATAATTGATATTTTTAGTCCTGCCAATGTCGAGGAAATAAAACTGTTTTATATCACGATATTAATGTGGATCAAAATAAGGACCAGAACAATTTAACAAAAAAGAATCGCGATACATTGATTCAGCGTCTCACGATTCAATACGCAGTTCGTTGGAAGATGAATCACGATATATCGATTCAACAATATATCATGGCAGCACTATAATAAAATATATTTAAACAAAATGAATTATATGACATAAATGTTAACACACCTTCCTAATTAAATATATGTTTAGCCAGGTACGTTGAAATAATAGGTTCGTTCTGAGACTGCAGCATTTTGACAGTAGTTTTTTTCCAGGGAAACAGACGGTAGTCAATACTTACATATATACGAAGTGCTAGAGTGTTTACTAATAGAGTATTAATTTTACCATATGATAATATATTTTTAGTTTAACAGACGGTAGTCAATACTTACATATACGAAGTGCTAGAATGTTTACTAATAGAGTATTAATTTTACCATATGATAATATAAATTTAGTTTAACAGAGGGCAGTCAATACTTACATATACCAAGTTCTAGAGTGTTGACTAATAGAGTACTAATTTTACCATATGATATATAATATAAACTTAGGTTAACAGAGGACAGTCACTACATACATATATAAAGTTCTAGAGTGTTGACTAATACAGTATAAATTTTACCATACGATAATATAATTTTAGGTTAACAGTGGGCCGTAGTCAATATGTACATATACCAAGTTCTAGAGTGTTGACTAAAAGAGTATTTACCATATGATAATATATTTATAGGTTAACTATAGAGAATAATGAAGATGAAGGTATGAGATATAGAGCTGTGATGAGTGATCTGGTTAAAGATGGTCAGGTAATTACACAAATATATACAATATGTCTCATGCTGTTTTCATTGTAAATTAACTCTAGATAATAAAATTGTTTATAGAAAATAAAGTTGATCACATACTGCAAATTACACAGGATTATATCTTGTTTCCTTTTTCATTAGGATTCCTGAATGGAGTTTGGGGGTGGGGGTGGGGGGTGGGGTCTGGTGGTTTAACAGTGATGTAAAATCATATATAACGTCTGTCTGTCATTGAATCATTTCTGCTTTTACGTGACAAGGAATAGGTTGCCTGTCCATCCTCGTGAGTTTTCTCCGGGTCCTCGAGTTTCCTCCTCCCACTGCCAAAGAACCCTACACACAAAATTGAAATAAAATTGAACCATACGAAATGACCTAGTTTGTGTCGAGTGGACGTTAAACTACATTTCTCTCTCCCTGAATGGGGTTTAAAGTGTTGGTCTTTTTTAGACTAATATACAGTAGTTATCATTACTATGGTTACATGTGCAATGCAATTTAAGGCAGGAATTTGCCCGGACAGCTATCACTGTAACTCAGGTATCTTAATCTTGTGTATCTAGCACTAATTTCTTTCACATTTGTCTAATATCAAATCTTTGTTTAAAAATTCATAAAAATTGTTTAAAATCACCAAAAATCATCCAATCTCTACTAGTGTCCAGTTTAAAGTTGACCATTCAATTTTGATAATGAGTGTCCAATTTACAAGCATTTAATTTCTTGATCACTGTTAAAAAATTAAACAGCCCAATTTGTTATTGATGTATAATGATTAATGTTTGAACAGTGGTCAGGAAATTAAATACACTCATTATCCAAATAAATCTGTCAGCTTTAAACTGGACACAAGTACAAATTAGATGATTTGAGGTGATTTTAAATGATTTTTACAAATTTTTAAACAATGATTTAATATTAAACGAATGTGAAAGAAATTAGTGCTAGATACACAATATTAAATGTTACCCGGGTTACAGTGGTGTTTTAGCATACTCTTCCATCTGCCATCTGCCATCTGTTATATGTGCAGGATTGAAACCCAGGGCTTTTTTTTGTCAGGAGACCTCAGGATTAAAGTTAAGGCACTAAAAACCTATCATTTGTTTTATTTGCAGGCTCAGAAAGAATCCATCAAAGTTTGTTCAACGATTTTATCAAACAGAACTGAAACGCCTCTAACATTCCGATTGTTAGTTAATAAGCCATTCTTATTGGTCGATTTAGATTCTTCATCTAATATAGAGGGCAGCACTCGAGCCACGGAGACGTTATATAATACTTTGAATCCACAGCACAGTTTAATTGTAAGTTTATACAGCATTTACCTGAATAAATAAAACTTTAAACACGTCCGACATCAATGAAATTCTTTGGAAATTATATTCTCCAGCACTTTATGCATGCAATAAATAATATAACCTACTCAAATATCAAAATCTCTTGGACTTTATGCATGCAATAAATAATATAACTTACTCAAATATCAAAATCTCCTGGACTTTATGCATGCAATAAATAATGTAACCTACTCAAATATCAAAATCTCCTGGACTTTATGCATGCAATAAATAATGTAACCTACTCAAATATCAAAATCTCCTGGACTTTATGCATGCAATAAATAATATAACCTACTCAAATTTGAGTCAAATATCATATTCTCCTGGACTTTATCAACGTTATAATGGAGCATAATCTGGTTGATTATTAAATGTTTGATTAAGAAATCAAGATCTATATCAAAGGTAGATAATCTCCTGGTTAAATATCTGATGAAATATTACAATAGTTATACATGATATTATGGACAGGTTTAATTTAATTCAGGTTATTTACCATGTGCACGTTGGATCATAAGGTTTGTCATTGAGTCAAGTGGCGTGGTTTTCATTCCTCGCTTGTACATTACAAGGAGTAGGGTCACCTGTCCAACCTTGTAGGATTTCTCCTTGTCCTCCGGTTTCCTCCCACTGCTAAAGACCCCTAAGGGCAAGCAAATTATTGAAATAAAATTTAACCATATGTTAGTGCTGAAATCACCTAGTTTGTGTCGAGTGAAGTTAAATCCTCTCTCTCTCTCTCTCTCTCTCCCCTCTCAATCTTCAATGAACAATAATATATTACTCAAGTTTTCAAAGGGGGATTCGGGGTCAAAAATTATTTCTATAAACATGTCCAGAGCAGGTACAAATTTGTTTTAGTCCAAATTTATTTATATTTGTCGAAAACTAGAATTTATATCTGTAAATGATTACAAGCTTCAAAACTTAGTGTAAATGGGAAGATAACTCTATTATTCATATTCAAAATTAATAGTGGGCATATTAGAATGTAGCAGGGAATTAGAAAATGATGGAAAATCTAGTTTAAAACAGTCAATTAAGTGAGCTGGTGACTTTATTTTAAATGATGAGATTTTAATATTTTTGTTTTGAAATGTTTATCCAGGTAAAGGTTGGATTTCAGACTACATGTGAACTACTGACAGATGATGCACTAAGTGATATGGAGGCTCTGGGTTCTGAATCCGATAGAAAACTGGATATTCAAGATAACTTGATCATAGAATTTAACAACATGGCTGAACAGGTATGACTGTTCTTTAAATGAAATGAAATAAGGTTTAACGTCCTAATTTTCTGTACTGAACAGGTATGACTGTTCTTTAAATGAAATGAAATAAGGTTTAACGTCCTAATTTTCTGTACCGGCTGTTGTTCTTTAAATGTTAGGCTTACTCTTTCTGACCCTGTTCTAATTTACAATGTCTTTGTAATTACGATAAAGAAATAATTTAGCTGTTGATGTATCTGTGTCTATTTCACTCACAAAATAAGCCCTCATTAGTTGTGCCGCAAGCTAAACTGAAATCCTATGGGAAAGAAGCCTTCAGTGTCTGTGGACCAACTTACCATTGGAGATAAAATAATGTACATTTATGATTGTGCTCACTCCATCCATATTATATGCTCTAAGCGCATGCTCTAACTCTATAGAGTCCTAATACATTGGTTGTGTTTAAATTTAATTTTAAAACTCATTTGTTTGTTAAGGATTAGCTATTATCTTCCATGCGCTTAGAGCATGTAATATGGATGGAGTGAGCACAATCATAAATGTACATTATTTTATTGTGTTAAGAAGTGGTTTAAAACTTCTGACAGAGTGTTACAGTGTTACCTGAATAATAAATGGAATGCGCGTTATGAATCATAAGGGATAGAACGTTTACTGGGACCATGAACAGTTTAGCATGACCAAAAAGAAATAGGATGATTTCTAGACGTCATTCATATAATAATATATTAAATGAAATTATTATTACAAATGATTTACTAAAACCATTGTTTAAAACAACTATAAGGTATGTGAAATTAGTATGTTAAATGTAATTTGTAAAACATATTTATGTTTATTTACAGAAAGTTCCACTACACGCCACGTTGTCCGTGCCACAGATATACCTGTCCAAACAGTCGTTAGATTTCGGTACATGCCTAGTTAATCAGTGTCGAGTTATGGAGTTAATGATATCAAACCATACGTCATCTCACAGTTTCTGGAAAGTTTCTATTGGTAAGTAAATCATAGAATCGTAATATCTTGTATTGTGGTGAAAGAATCGGGGATATGTGGAGATGATTGGATGATCTAAATGTTTTTTTATACTGGGAGAATTTAAATTTTATTGGGTGGTAGGAGAACCTGTTGAATGATAGGGGAATTTTATTGAAACGTGGTGAATTTGTTGAATGGTGGGGGGAATTTGTATTATGTCAGTATGATTAAAACACTGACATTTCATTTCATTTTTTATAGTTCCAAAATTCGTTTTACTTGTCTTCACTACTCTAGGAGTTGTTATATAACCAGCGGTCTGGATTATGTGAGGGATTAGCCAATAAAACGGTCTGTTTTGTTGAGTTTTTGGCGTGAAGTGCACGGAACTTTGGGTAAACCACTAGAAACATCAACGCTGATTGATTAATCAATGTCTGACGTCATAGGGTCAAAAGCCAATTGTATGACACCTGATTGGTATTTTGTGGAAAGGTGGGAGAATTTGAATTTTGTTGAATGGTGGAAGAATCTGTTGAATTTTATTAGATGGTGGGAGAATCTGTTAAATGGACATGGCTAAGTGAAGTTTGTAGGATGTTGAAAAACTGCAAGGAATATTCTTTTCAAACAATGATCAAACCAAATTGTGTACAATTCTCAAATATAATGACAATCCCCAGTGGTATTAGTTAAATATATTTGGTCTATTGCTTGTCATAATTTTGTGATATTGAAGGATATTCGAAATTCTGAAACTATACTTGAGGCAGGATATGCTTACTTTTCATTTGAGGATTTCACAAAGCTAACACATTTATTGTGTATTTATTCAAATTTACCTTGCAGAAAATTATTTATTGTTAGAATTTTGTTTTCTTTTATATTATAGAATCTAAATCAGAAACGTGTTTATCAGATACGTTTGTTGTGGAACCATCAGAGGGAATATTAGATGCCTATATAACTCATGTCAGTAACAGCAAATCTTTACTCAAAGTCAAATTTACAGCCAAGTAAGTAAATCAAACCAACAAATAATATTTTGTATGAAGGAATGTGACACAGTTGGTCATATGTTAGATCTAGCTGTGAGACTCATTGTTGCATGTTTGATCCTTACTCGGTTTTCTCTGTGTCCTCCGATTTCCTCCTACTGCTGAAGACCCCTACGCGCAAGCAAATTATTGAAATAAAATTGAACCATTTGTTAGTCCCAAAATGACCTCGGTTGTGTAGAGTGGATGTTAAAACCCATTTCTCTCTAGTTTGAATGTATAAATGGCATCCAACAGGTGTTCAATCTTTGCTTTGATGATATTTCATTATTGTTTGTTTTCAGACACGCTGAACACTACGAAGTTGTTTTCCTGGTTACAGGAATCCTGGGAGAAACACCACAGAGGTTATATGTCAGAGGTGAAGGGTCATATGATGGAAAACACGAATCCATTCTTAACCCTTAATTATTAAATAATACACAATTCATTCCGTCCATTTTTAATCCTTATTTTATATTTGCATCTTGGTAATATTGAAATAGCTGTTAAAGGAGCTAAGTCTCCAACTCAATATTTTCAATAATATTTGAAATTAAAAAAACACAATTCAATATTGATCCATTTCAATCCATAGTGATGTTGTTACGTTGCCATGATGATGTGGGATCCTAATATACAATATTTAAGACACAATGAACGATTTAAAATATGGTACATGAGCCATGTACCATATCATTTTGGGCGCAAAACCAATGAACAAAAAACCCCAACATATCCTAAATTACAATAGGCTACAGCAGTAAATAGTAATGCCTGATTCACAAATGATAAAATAATAATATAAAAAAAACGTGAAGAATTGGCTAATTAGGCGTAAACATTTGTCGTTCAGTTTGTACTGTTCGCATATTTCACCGAAAATAATTCATAAGAAATTACGCTTTATATCACGTTTTATGTACACTCAGATTACATTAGTTTGTACTTTTTTAGACCCATTTATGGTTAAAAAAAATAGAGCGATATGCCCTTTAATGGATTTGATATGCGAATTGCTGAAATAAATTGAACCATGTGTTAGTCCTGAGGTGACCTAGTTTGTGTCGAGTGGACGTTAAACCCCAGTTCTGTCTCTTTCACATCTTGGCGTGAATTAAACTAAGCCCTGGCAATCAAGATATTGTCCACAAATAGCAAATAAGGAACAGCCGGTCTAATAAGACTATTTTAATTAAATCAACATAATATTAATTTCTTAGATTATTTATGTTTTTTTTATTAAATACATTTGAATTGTTAATATTGATGTAAAATATCTAATAAGACTTCTTAAATTAAACCAACCTGATATAAATTTCTTAGATTATTTATGTTTTTTTTAAATACATGTGAATTATAAATATTGATGTAAAATGTATTTAATATATTTGTATGGCAGCCCTGGTAATCAGCATTATTAAAGATACATTATGGGAGATTAGATAAAGAATTGACTGTTCTGGCTATAATAGCTAAAAAATAGATTACGTAAATCTAAGATGTTGAAAATTTCAGTCAAATTGCTCCACTATGTACTGAGATTATAGCTTTTGAATTTTAAGCCTAGCCTCATTACTAAAGTCATTAGGATAAAAAACATAATCTTGATTATCCATTTTTGGATTTAATCATCAGTGAGCCTTGAGCAGCAGATTGGATTCCAATCCCGTGAAAATCTGACACATAAGATGACATCGAGAGTTGATTATGGTTTGGATAAGTTAATTAATGTCTAATTAATAATTTAGATAACATTTAAGGCCTAAAGAAAGACCTGCAATAGGCAGATTTAGCTCTTGTATAATGTATGTTTAACCATGATTACCATATTTTATAGCAATTATATAATATAGAGGATTGTTTCAATGGGTCTGGTTTCTTCAAATGCAACCTTTGGTATTTTTGCCGTTGTAATTATATTAAATCTATAACTATTATACACCTCTCAAACCAGCATTGATTACACTTTTTTGGAACTGTTCAGTTCAGTTTAATCAAAGTGGAATTCAAAGAGAAACTGGGGCAGATTCAGGAATTTTTACGGGAGGGGGTTCGCCAGGTTCCTGCTAAGGAAATTTGACGGTTCACAATGCATGATGCCATCGTCTCCAAATTATGTAGGCATATATATACTGTTTTTTTTTTAAGAGAGTAACCCAACACACCGTTTAAGGTCAATTATTATTATGAATTAATAGGATCACATTGTAATTTAATTTCATTGATGCAAAGCTTTTAATTGTGATATCAGTGATATCATGTCTATATCATTATATCACGCTTTGAATGCTCATCCCATCCTACTATCTGATCATGAAGGATAATGCATACGACCGTGACATTACAATTTCTTTCATTGTAGCAGAGCAGGGGAGAGGTTAGGGTTAGGGTCCTACTTTGCTGCTCAAACCGGGCTAATGATGACAGAAACTTTACTGCTATGATTCCTATGACTAAATACATGTAACTATTCAGATACACCAGGTTACCATTGTAAATGTTACAGTATTTGATAAGTTGATAATATTGGTTGTCATAGCTACACGAATATTGCTATATAAAGATGGATTATAACTTATTAACTGTGATATTATGTTTTAGAAATTATATTCTATATTTTGAACTATTTATTGTGAATCATTATGGAATAACATATGAACTACTGAAATGATGTCTTACTGTTCTATACCAACTCAGCTAACATGATGTTATAATGTGCTCTGACTATGAGGGAAATTGTGTTCAGACACCCACGTTTCCAAGGCCTGTGAGCGGGTAGAGGTGTGTGTGTGGTGGGGGGGGGGTGCCAGCTGGGACACATGTCCTGGGTCCTAAGCCTAGAGGGGCCCAGAGGTATGCCGAGTAATGTTTTAGAAAATAAATGTTGGTATTAATTAATAAAAAAAAGTACACTGTTACTTGATCGTAAAGTAAGAAAATCGATGACCTTCCTGAATGTGGGTACCTAGTGGCGTGGGTACTATAGGATTAGAATCGGTGAATTATAGGCTCTCGCCACCATCAGGGTATCTTGGACCCGATAGATAATCGGGGCCTAGACCGGGGGCGAAATCATTGAAGGCCAACACAATTTTCGTCAAGGACGCTGAGATGTAAGATTAGGGCACGTGATTGTTGGCGAGATTTTAGATTAGGGTAAGGTTGAGATTAGCGTTAACCCTGTTTACATCTCATGACCTTTGACACAAATTGAAGTTCGCCTGATTAAATAGATCTGTAGAATACGACATTGTCGCGCTCTGTCACCAGTGATAATACCCGGTAAAACCGACTAATAGGTTTGGCAATTTTAAACATCGAAAATGACTTGGCATGTATCTTTCAAATATTTTTCGAGCATGGGTGGGAGGGGCGAGAACCACCACGGGCACCGCTCCCATCGCCGAATTGCATGTTGCAGGTACTGCTCGTTCCGCCCACTCTTTATCGAACGGAGTTAGGTTTTTGTCTTATCCGAACGACTACACCATTTTCCTTGCCTTGCCCTCCACCACTGACAATAGGAACCATGCTAGAAAATCCACAAAATAATTAAACACAAATATACATGTATCCACAAAGAAGTCTCGTGGTAAATTATATATTCAGGTGTTGGAAGCAAAGTCCGTTTCTTTCCTGATCTTCGTGTACGATTTATAAAGAGAAATCGGGTTTAACGTCCCCACCCTCTCTCTCTCTCTCTCCCTCTCTCTTAATCGCCTTGACACTTTTCCTTGCCAGAACATCAATTCATCCTGTGCCACTGACCAGGGGAAACGTGGCTGAAAAATCCCCCTGCAACCTTATCGGAGAAGGCTGGCGAGAGAGTATTCGCCTTACCCACTGAACTTTACTTCCGTGGCTTACTCTGGGACAGGGAAAACTGGGATCTAGTCTGTTTTGGCGTAATCTGATTAAAACACAGATCCTATTTCGTTTCGTTTTTTATAGTTCAAAATTTCGGTTTACTTGTCTTTACTTGTATATAAAAATGAAACGAAATATAAATCTGTATTTTAATAAGATTGGTTTTGGCGTCTATAACCGTGAGAGTAAAGAGGAGATCCTGATGAAATCCTCCGAGATTAGACACAAGTTTGAACAAGCTAAAATAAACCCACATCTGCAACATATCCATTTTTGGGTGTGGTCGCATTAGGAAGAACGGTCATAGGTTTTTCTATGTTTGGCAAAAAACAAAAGTGGGTCGAAATCCTTAAATTATTAAAGTAACTATTTCGTGGTGCAAAATAAGATTCTCAGTTATATAGCCCATGTATAAAATCGAATTACTGCAAATTTAAGACCAGCTGTATCATGAGAAATACCAGAATTGCAGGTTTTAAAATACATGTATTAAAATTTTAACAGTGCAACATAAAATCAAGTGTCCCGAACAAAAGATAAATTCAATGACCATGCGGTGTTATAAAGTAATATAACTTTATTTAATATAACTTTATTTAATATTAAACATGCATTATGCAAGAGCTAAATCTGCCTATCGCAGGTCTTTCTTTAGGCCTGAATTCTGAAATGTTATATAAACTATTATAATTAGACATTTATTAACAAAACAAGACCATAATCGACACTCGAGATTTTAACTAGATTAAAACGGCTCGCCATTTAAAAATTCAATTTAAAAATGGGAAAGCGAGGCTAAGTCCCGGTTATACCAGTGTCCTGGTTACCACCATGCACACATCTTGTCAAAACTACAAACAATGATAACTTGGCTGCGAATGAAGTAATTTGGATGAAATTTTCTTTTTTTACCATCTAGTTTTGAATTATTATAGCAAGAATGACCAACTCTTTATTAAACTTATAACTAATGTATCTTTAAACATCCACATTCAGTTTCAGGGACCTTATACTTTCAATACAAACTTGTGTGATATCATCAAATAAAACACTCCGGAGTAGTAATATCCTTCTAAAGTACGTGTTACTGATGATCAATCTGTTTTACAGACCTAATGCGACATCCGTCTTTTATCTCTGTCCAAGATGACTGACCTTTAAAAGGTCAGACCGCTGTAGTTCTAAGGGTGACGTCACATCATAATGTTTACCAACAAAGCAAGGTGGCATCGATAACGCCAAAAAAGATTACTTCTGTGGCTTGTTTTTGTTGTTTTAAAACAAACACGAGCAGGTCAATCAGATTAGACGGTAAAAAATGTACTTCTGAAAGAATTCAGAGTAAACAAACAGAAAAAAACGTCAAATTGATGGTCACACGTGCGTTGTAGTAATATGAACTGGTACGGGCAAAATTATATCGTTTTACCCATTTTACGCCTCCGCGTACTATTTTCTGTACCTATTTACGCTAAATATGGAATATTTTTTTTATCAAGATATACTTCAAACACCTTTATTTATTTTTCTAATACTAAAAAAAAATGTTTCAGAATTTAATTTGTCGAAAGAAAAAAGTTAATATTTTGTTGTCATTAAGTCGCATCGATGTCATCCTTATCAGTGATTGTAGCGGCCAAGCGAATATTCACTGCGGATTAGTGTGACTGATGATGTCGTGTGGGATAATTAACTGCTATATAGTACAGTAATGCCTAGGTCCCATTGCCTGGGCATGTTTTGCCTCGGTGATGTACTAACCATGGAAATTTATGAGCATGTTTTCCCGACAATGCAAGCTTTGATATTTTTCGCAGTTCTCCCGAGGCCCGCCGATGGTTCCACGTGGCTCGCCATGCCCCCGAGTTCCCCTTGGACGCCGTGGCCTTCTGAGGCCCATACATTTTCATCGGTAGTACATCCCCGAAGAAAAAAATGCCCAGTGGGACCTAGGCATAAGTTTTAGCTGTACTGATTATCAGCTATATTAAAGATACATTATGTAAGATTAAGATAATGTAAAATGAATATATTGAAAATTTCTTTCAAATTACTTCATTCTGAGGCAAGTTATCAATGTGTGCATTGATTGTTTATTACCATAGAATCGGTACTTGTCAATCGAAACCAAGTCTCAGTTAGGTTATCTATTTTTTCATTAAATCTTTTAAAGGCTCAATACCACTCTTGTTGTAACTGAATAATATGTCCCAATCTTTATTCTGGTCAACAAATTGTACTATTTTAGAATATTTCAATTAATTGATGATACAAATTTCATCTTAACACACCTTATTTAAAACATTTGAAAAATTCAACATAATGGTTTGAAACGTCTAACGTAAACCTTTTCAAATGAAACTTCGATTTAAAAATTATTTCGAACTCTCTGGACAAGTAAAATAGGATGTAATGGATAATTTACACAACAGGTAGGACACTTAAACATCTAGTATTTAGATAGAGATATTATTTATTTTCTGGAGCTTTCAAGCCAGCAAGAGTGTTATTGTCCCTTAAATGGAAGCTGTGATTTAGTCTACTTAAAATCAGTTCCATCCGATGGCCCAGGGATTTATATATAACATTTGAAGCCAGGAAAAAAAGGACTCAAAATAGGCAGATTTAGCTCTTAATAACGCATCTTTAGTAAATATTTAATGTTCACTGACAACACTATAAGCAGTACATCACACAATAATACTTGATGTTTCATACAACGACCAAACATAATTTACCAGTCTGAAAGAGTAGAAAATGTCCGATGACATCAGGTAAGTTTCGTTGACCGCCAATATACTTCAAATAATTACCAATCAGTCTTCGGGACAGATCAAATAAGATTATGCTAATATTTACGACGCGACCAATTGTTCAATTTAGCTGGGATGATATCACAAACTAAACGAGATCACAGTGGTATTTTTGCCATCCACTGAGCCAAATCTCGCCATTATATCAAATGTAGGCTTTAACACCTTTCTATGCTAATTATACTAACTATAAATTGTATGGTAAACTTGTTGTTGGTGTCCAAGAAACCAGATTCACGATCTACCAATTTTTGCCATTCAATACCAGTACTCTTACCACCACTGCCGCCAGGCATAAAGCTACATGAACACTGTCTTTTGACAGATAGATTTTCACATGCGTTGTGTAGGAGTTTCCAGCTATAGTTACATTCACACTTGTTAATAGTTTCATCGTCTACATCACCCAACCACAGATATATACCAAACGGTAGAGACACATCTGTAGAACGTTTCACACCTACGCGCCAGGACATCCCATTTGCATTTACCTTCGATTTTAAGAAAGAATCTGACAACACCTGGTCAACATCAAAACTTACAGTAAACGTGGAATCATCCATGGTTGGTATTTTACCCAGTAGAGGTGTTAACGATTGTGCACCAATATCCGCCAAGGAATAGTAAGGAGATCTGACCACTGGCGTTTGTAAAATTGTTGATATGTCAAAATTTGTTTTTTCTTGGAGATCTTTTAAAGTAGTTTTACCTACAAATTCAATCACAGACTCGTGTCTTAAACCCACATCTGAGTAGTCGCGCCATTCCTCCATTATCGATCTCATCTCGTCACATTCTTTTATCCATGTGTTCGTTGTCCTATTTCCTTCTTCACACGACTTCATTATTTCGTCCTTAATCGCCTCTGCTTTTCGTTTACATTCTTGGTATATTGCGTTCAGCTGCAGATCAACGTTGCAACAAGATTTTAAGCTAGACTCGATAAATTGAGATTTGTTGGTTTTCAGAGTCTCTGAATGTTCTTGCAGTAGTTTTATCTTCTTCTCCGTTTCTGTCTTTAGCTTCAAGAACTGGTGTTTCAGTTCGTTTTCCACCTCTTCTAAATCGGCTACTGTGTGATTTTTATGATCCCCAATAACACACATGGCACAACATGGTTCATTACAGTCCTGGCAATAGACTTGGACTTCTTTCGTTTTGTGTTTGAAACAAAAGTCTTTCTTATTACGACCCTCACTTTCCAGATAAAAATTACCCGGGAACGCACTAGCCCCGCCTTCTGGAACTTGTATTTCTGAACGACACATAGAACAGTTGAATTTGTTGAGTTGAGTTTGTGCCTTGATGTGATCGCCTAAACATTTTTCACAAAAGGTGTGACCACATGGCAGTAGTTTAGGCTTAGTAAAGTCTTCCAGGCAGATAGAACAGGTAGCCATTTAGTTGGTTGCACTGATTAAAGCATGCAAATTTTACAAACTTCTGCAATATCACTATTATTGAGGATGCGTGCGTTAGATATAGTTATTCCACACACTATTTCACTATCGGCATCACCTGGTATTCAATCGTTTGTGCTTCTGAATCCCAGGTGACAGGTATATCTGCATTTAGCTATACACTGCTGCATCATATTGTAGTTATTGTTGCTTTGTATCTTTTGTACGGGATAACAATATATAAAACAAAATGGTCGTCTAGTGTTGGGTGTCACGAGTTGTTTTTGACTAGTTTGACTCACAGGTTGACTGCTGCATCATATTGTAGTTATTGTTGCTTTGTATCTTTTGTACGGGATAACAATATATAAAACAAAATGGTCGTCTAGTGTTGGGTGTCACGAGTTGTTTTTGACTAGTTTGACTCACAGGTTGAAGTTTGATAATCCAACGTTATATTATTTCTCAAGAATTTGATATGAATGTCCATTCCCGCTAGCGTAGACTTCTGAAATTCACCTGCATAACTTCACACTGAGTTACAAACAGTGACAAGGGCCTTATACGTCAGAACCCCAAGCGGCACATAACATTGTTGTAGGTATGACGCACGTCAAATTATCCTTAGATCGTTTCACTGCTGATCACCTTAACAGAATGGTATCGACTTCAATGTCAAGAACAGTTTTGCCTATTTCAATACATGCTTATGTATACACCAATACAATCATTATGATATTTATAATACACTATACAACAGTTATATAATACGTGAACCAAACATCCTGGTCTATATATATCACGGTAACCTATATACCTCTATACCCGTTTAAAGGTGGTGGTAATTGGTGACTGGAGATTAAAACATGAATAAACACAATGTTACACTACTTTTGAAATGTTTTTGCTTTTTTTTTAAATTTATATAAAACATATTGTCCGGAAAAGTATACATTTCTTAGCAAAGAAAATTTTTATTTCATGTGTCAATGATTTTTAAGGGTGGGAAATAATGCCCATGGTCGTATAATAGTGAGTTGATAACCTATTGAGCAAAAGACATAGAAATAATTATGTTTTGACTGTCTTAGAAAATATGAAATTCTCGCTTTAACATACCCACACTATCTGATGAGTCGAATCGCATTAAATCGACTGTTTGTACTTAACGACAGTGACCGCGAAAGCACACACGCCTCTTTAAAATAAAATGATATATATATATATATATATATATATATATATATATATATATATATATATATATATATGTACTTAAAAATGTGTCTTATTGTATGCAGTCGTGTGTGTTATTATTATTCATATCTTTTCTATGCATAGTGCATCACTGTTAGTCAGCTACTTGTACAACGATACACGACTTGTTATCTAGCCAACGATTTCATTTCATATTAAATTAAAATTATACACGATTATTTGTCACCATGCAGGGAGTTCAAACCACGATAAGGCGGCATTTCTATATGACGTTCGGAACAGTGACCTCAGCTCAGCGCTGTATTTTGAGAATATTTCAGATAATATTTTCTTTTCTTTAATTATTCTTGGCTCTGTTACTAACAAAACAAAAGTGAATATCTTCTTATATATTTATCCCAAACATCACTGTTTATAACAGTTTAAGAAAATTTTAAGAAAAATTGCTAAGTAGGACATTTAAAGCAACAGTTGCACCAATACAACTTTCTGTCGAGTTTATCATTAAATGATGAAGGTGAGATAAAGGCGGGTTTTCTTCAAGGGAATATAGCTCTATCTTTCAAACCTTGAAATAGACAAAAAATAGTCCTAAAAGCACATATTAATGTAATATGAATGTATGTAAAGTGATTTATATTCAATTTTCGAAAAAAAAAATATTGTTAATTTTTAATCAATTATATTCGGTTTGTGAATAAGCCTTTACTAATTACTCCCACATTGTGCTGTAGGATATGTTTTTATTTGTTCTTTACAAAATGACACCCGAAACCATAGGGCACATGTCTCGTGTACTGATTATAAAATGTTAATTGTGTCTTAAATATTGGATATTGGGATCCTATAATTTCACGACAAGATAACAACGTCAGTTTTGATTGAAATTGATCAATATTGAATTCTAATTCGTGTTTTTAATTTCGAACATTATGGAAAATATTGAGTTAGTGACTAAGCTACATTAAAGGATAAATACTACTTCTGAGTGTTTCAGTTTCATTTGATGTCTCTTGTGGGAAAATCTGTTTATGTCACAGGATATGGAAGTTTTGAAGAAAGGGCTTTCATCTTAATGATAAAATGTTACTTGCTAATTTTACATCTACATTTATAAGTGTGATCGGGCGCCAGTTTTTGGGATTAGTTTAATAATCGATTGTCTTTGTGACTCTGATAATTGCTTATGTTCAAAACTATAGTTAAACAAAATTAGTACTAATGTATTAATAACAGGCCAGTATTCACGGTAAAATTCTATATCCAATCCATCTAGGTAGACAACCATGTAGTTCTCGTAGGGAGAAAATGTGGGAATTTCCATCAGGAGACTCGCCGAATCTGCATGGGAGCGGGTTAGAGAGACTAATTTTATTATAACGCTTTGTAACTATTTAACCTATATGTAGCAGTGCTTTATATAAAAGGTAGAACCGAAATGTGATATGTGTTGTTCCTGTTGATGATATCAATTAAGATGCAGTATATTCAATCACATCGTGAAGCTGTCATTAACGTGGGATGACTAAGTGGCATTTCAAGATACGTCCTACATATGCGACAAGAAACAATAGTAGACGATCAAGGGCTGTTCCAAAATATGTAGGAAGAAACGATACATTGGTTATACGCCGGATGTGGTGACCGGTTTTAGTGAGTTATACGCTCTCCACGTCTGACATTCGACACATGGTGCTACAATAGCCATAAGTTCATTAGGTATTTAATGTGATCGAAGGTACCAATCTCCTCACATTAAAACTTTGACAAACATACTTAGCATATATTTATACATATTAGTCAATACATAGTGTTACCCGTCTGATATAAAGTGGAATAAAATTTGTCAATCAATCCCAGCAATCATGGCATGAGTTAAAGAGAGAAGGAGTTGGTACCCCATCACTGTCTCTGTCACATAAGCTATCACGAAAATCTCTGGCACTTTTCCATTTATTTCTCCTTTATTTTAACCCATTCGTTTGCCATATCTATAAGATCATTAGGTATTTAATGTGATCGAAGCACTTAATAGGTACCAATATCCTTACTTAAAATTTAAAAAAAACGACTTAACATATATTTATGCATAAGCAATACATATTGCTACCCCCCTGGACATTTTGATACAAAGTGGGAGCACCACTAGTTTCATACCTCCGTGTTCGGCATTCAAGCGAAAAATTATGTTGATTTAACTCTGTCAAGGAGAGTGACAGTACAATTGCTTTTGCCGTTTTATTATGTTTATATTCCCTAAGTGTAATATTAAATAGCGACGGCTGGCTTTACACCTAGAATGTTAAATACGCAACTCAAAGTCTTGATGTACATTTATAATATATAAAAAATGTGGAACCAGCCATAGGAATTATTCTTTACACCTTAAGACTATGATACATGTGATGTCCATGGCCGTCAAACAGGGGGGGGGGGGTCGGGCGGTCTGAATATACTTGCCCCCCCCCCCCCTAAAAATTTAAAAAAAAAATTACATAGTAGGCCCAAACTCATTTATTTACGACAATTATAAGTTAAGATTCTATCTGTATAAAACCTGTACATATCCCAATATGGTTTACATTCCTAAAATAAAACACAGAGAGAACCATCCTGGAAATATGTGGGAAGTGAAAATTAACTGTGTTCCATAAAATTGTGTTTAGTGAGCCTGTCAGTAATATTTTGTTAATTTTTTTCTGCCACTTATCAGAGTGAATCGCATGTACCAAAAAACATTAATTCCATAAACCAAATATTTATCGCCCGCTCAGCCAGCCACGTTACCATAATGCTTTTCACGCGGTGTCTGGGCCAATCAGCAAACGAGTTGTGTAGACAGCATGGGCACATGGTGCTTGTTTATATTTTTTAGGGGTTTTAAAAAAGGGTTACGGTTAGTGTTAGGGGTTAGGGTTGCGGACCCCCCAATATATATTTCACGGCCACGCCTGTGGTGATGTCACATGGTACAGGTTTTATAAATAGTGCATTTTTTCATTTTTCTGTCTTGCACTGGTGGTTGATTCACTATGATAATATTAGGTGTTGTGTACACGTGCAGAAGTGTCCACCAGTACTACTCAAGTGGGCAATTTACTGGGTCACTTATTATTCACACATACATTAAATCAGGAAGCTTGGTGGTTTCCTGATCGTAAAGCCAAGCCCAGTTCTTTTTAATAGTTTGCAGTTGTATTGGATCAATTTTACGTGTTGTTTCTCACAATCCATTTAAGTGCCCTAAACCAATTTTATTCCTTCTTCCCTAATTCTGGTCTGTAGTTTTTCTTCTTTGCCAATATTATAAGCGATATGGTGATAATCTACTTCGTTCTTTTTTCATTATTTTAGGCAGTTTACTCCATCTCTTCATCTTCTCGCCTGCTGGTAGGTTAAATGTTTTAGACATAATGAGGTCTCGGCGAGGAACGTGGAAAAAATAAACTATAATAACAGGAGCCCCGTATGTGTTACCATCTGGACTTTTGTGGGGGGCTAAGAATTTTTGCAGGAGGGGGTTTGCCAGGTTCCTGCGAAAAAATCTCCCCCCCCCCCCGGTTTGAATTTTTTTAAGAAATACATGGTCTCTATCGTCATTTTGGCGTATATACATACACATTGAGCTTTTTAAACAGAGAAATCCAAAATCCTGTTTGACGTCAATTTTTTTTATGAATTAATACGATGACTTTGTGATTCAATTTTATTGATGCAAAGCATTAATTGTGATATCACATATGTCTATATCATTATCTCGCACTTTGAGTGCCCATCCTGTCGCACCATCTGACGATAAAGGATAAAGCACAATTATGACAATTTTCTCATAAAAAAGGTTGTTTTACAAAAAATATCATTTAGCTGAGCGGGGGGAGGGGGTATTAGCAATATGCTAGTGTTTGGATATTGTCTCTTTATCGTTGTGAATTATTTTTATTGAAGAATGTGTGAAGGATTTGGGTAATGTTTTCCTCACCACCTGTAGGGATTGGCACTTCATATATCAGGATATTGTATTTCCTGTCGTGTTTTTCTAACATAATCAGGTGTTCATTCAGTTTCTGTAATTCTTCATTCCGTCTTTTGATATGTTGTCTATTCTATCACTTTCAAAGAAGCAGTGTGACTCACATGCCTCTATACGTTTATCCATGTCTTTACTTTCTTCTCTCATCGTGTGAATTACTTTATAAATTTCTGTTTATAGGGTTGTAAACATATCGTTCACATTGGTTTCTATATTATTACCAGATTACAATGGTATGTAATTTATCTAGATCTACTCCATTATGGTAGGATTGTTCATATGTATGTACCTTTAACCAGATTACAATGGTATGTAATTTATCTAGATCTACTCCATTATGGTAGAATTGTTCATATGTATGTATCTTTAACCAGGCTACATTGGTATGTAATTTATCTAGATCTACTCCATTGCGGTAGAATTGTTCATATGTATGTATCTTTAACCAGGCTACATAGGTATGTAATTTATCTAGGTCTACTCCATTATGGTAG